GGGCTTAAGTGGAGAGGAAATGTTTTGAGAATGATGAGGGCAATGAATGTACAAATGTGCTTTACACAATGGATGTATGTATGGATTATGATAAGTGTTGTATGACCCCCTAATAAAATGATTTTCTAAAAATAGCTTATGTCTTCATTATGTGTTTCCAGAGAGGAGGTGCTTGAGTTTAAGATGATGAAGCACTCAATCATATAGATAAGAAGCAGGATGTTGAGAATAGTATAAATAATGACACTGAATTATATCTGGAGAAGCTGTGGGATTGAGAATGTTTTGTTGTGTGTATTTTTGCCAATTTATAAAAAGTAATTACATGAATCCCAATGAGTACAAGAAGAAAATGTTCTAGAATTGTGATGATTGTACAACTCCTCTTGATAAATGAATCATTGAATTGTCTCACATGTGGATGAAGTGCCAAGAAATCTGTTTAAAAAAAACAAAACAAAAAAATATTAATAAGTAACATAATACAGCGTAGATTTTTGTTTTGTAAGCTATACAACCAACCCTTCTCACATTAATTTCCAGGCAGCACACACGTAAGCATGTGCTGCTCATTATTTACAGAAAATCCGGTAAATGGAAAGGCATGTAGGCAAGAGAAATGGTTTCCAGTACTTCTTGGTGGTGTGGTATGGCTGTGAAAGAGTAGAAAGAGAGGAAATTGTGATTCAGAAGGCCTAGAATGTAAGCTGGGGGAGATACCTGACTTATTTTATTTATCAGTGTACTCTGTTTCTACCATATAGTTTGTTTTGCATACTGAATTGAATTTTATCCTCAGAGCTATTGGGAGCCATTTGAGTGTGCATGTGTCCAGTAAAAGGAGAATTTGTGTGTGTATGTGTGTGTTTGTTAGATATATTATTTACAGGAAAATTATAATTATTGTGTTCTCTAAAATATATGATTTAAATATGTTTATCTCATTTCTTTTTTAAAATGTATTTTGTTTAGGACATTTTTCATAAACGATCTTAAAAATTGTTTTATCACTCTTCATATTTTACCTATTGTCCTGACAATTTCTCTGTTACAGAACTTTGCCAGGGTTAAAATGCAGGTTACCATGTCACTTTCCTCACTTGTGGGCACGTCTCAGAATTTTAATGAAGAATTCTTAAGACGCTCTCTAAAGACTATATTGACATATGCTGAAGAAGATCTGGAATTAAGGGAAACAACATTTCCTGACCAGGTCAGAAATAATCTAGATAATTAATTAAAATACATTTAGAAATTGGCATGTTATTTATTGTTAAATCAAATTTGGTTTTTATCAAAGGTTCCTATATTTCTTTGTTAATCCATATATTATACTATAGATAAGACTGAATCTTTTTTCCTTTTCTTTTCTCCTTACATAAGGAATTTTTCCTTCTTGGAATAGTTAATATTGGTATTGAATTTTTTTGCATTTTTATCAAGTAGAACAGTAGATTAAGTCAGAATTGAAACACAGTTTGATGAAATTTCATTATTACATATTAATGACACAGAAATTTGTTTTAAAAAAACTAAAGTTTCCAAAGTTGAGGAGAAATTGTTCCTTTTGTGCTTTTTTTTTTTTTAATCGTTTTATTAGGGGCTCATACAATTCTTATCACAATCCATACATACATCAATTGTATAAAGTACATTTGTACATTCATTACCCTCATCGTTCTCAAAACATTTCCTTTCCACTTAAGCCCCTGGCATCAGGTCCTCTTGTGCTCTTTTCTTATCTCTTATGTCCCTATGTTTTATTTCTACCTATAGGTCAAGTTATTTTTATGTTAAAGACTGGGGACGTAAAAAATAGTCCGTTCAGTCATTAGTGTAGAGTTTACCTGCCTTTGTCAGCCATATGCCAACATAACCACACTTCATTAAAACTTTATTCACATCATACTGCTTGTCCTGTAAAAGTCAGGTGCTTATCTGAAATATCTCCTAAACCAATTTAGTGATTGGGAATCAATGGCAATTTAAATACATGTTTTCTATAATCCTCTTGCAGGTTCAGGATTTGGTTTTCAATCTTCATATGATTCTCTCTGACACTGTTAAAATGAAGGAACACCAGGAGGATCCTGAAATGTTGATTGACCTAATGTACAGGTAGCATCTGATTCATTTATACTTTAGAGCAGTGGTTCTCAACCTTCCTAATGCCTCGACCCTTTAATACAGTTCCTCATGTGTGGTGACCCCGACTATAAAATTATTTTTGTTGCTACTTCATAACTGTAATTTTGCTACTGTTATGAATTGTACTGTAAATATGTGCTATGCAGGATATATTTTCATTATTATAAATTGAACATAATTAAATAACTTAATTATGTGATTAAATCAGTGACTAATCACAAAACAATATGTAATTATATATTATGAAATATTTATTTCTAATTACAAATAGATGAAATTTTGTCTTGAAGCATGGTGTGGCATGGGTAACAGTCTTCACACCAGGTACTCATATGTGGGTGTATCTGCATGCGGGTGGACCCACGGAGACGGATAGAGGAGCGGTGTCTCGTTTCCCAAGACCATCGGAAATTTGTGTTTTCTGATGGTCGTAGGCAACCCCTGTGAAAGGGTTGTTCGACCCCAAAGGGGTCGCAACCCACAGGTTGAGAACCGCTGCCTTAGATAGTGAGGCCTAACGAAAACACTGGATGAAAGAGGGGAAAAAAGATGCATGAAAGTTAAGTGATTTTTGTAGTGTAAAATTGAAATATCAGATATGAGCATTTCCAGGATGCTTTTCCAGATTCTCTGAGCTGTGATTTTTTAAAAAGAATTATACATAGACTATTTAGTGATTACCCATAACAAGAGTATTTCTAAAAATCAAAACACACAGTTAGGCCCAGGTTTTGTGGGCTCCAGATTTCGTAGCAAGGCCAGAGGCCACATTTTATATGTAATAATTAGTACTTTAAGGAAAAAAGAACTTGTTTTAACATTGCATTAATTTTCCTGATTTAAAATATAGGTCTGCTACTAGGATAATGTTTCTAGGCATACATTTTGAGAAACAAATTCCTTCTTTATTTTCATAGTTGTTAAGTAAAACTTGCGAATTGTTCTTTGGCATGATTCTTCCGTTCCTAACTTGGGGCCTCATAAGTAAAATAAGTTGTTCTCTTTAAAATAAAGATCATGTGATAAAACTACCTTTCATAAATCTACCCACTTTCCCTTGATTGTCAAATTACTCTGTATTTTCATGATGAAAAAAAGAAATTCCTGTAGTATTTACCTAACTGATTGTTTACTTAGTGGCTAGATTTTAATACTATTTATCTCTTTTTAAGCTTATCTTTGTGTTTTGCTTTTTCAAAACATGAGCCTAGTATTTTTTCCAAACACACTCAAAGACATTTTTATATCACTCAAAAACTATCCTAATAGTTTGTATGCAATAAAAGTCTTTCTCGTTGAAACTGAGCCAGTTGTCTAACTCTTCTTCACTTGGGAAGCAAACGCTAACAGGGAAGCATTTCTGCTCTCATTAGAATCGCCAAAGGCTATCAGACCTCTCCGGATCTGCGCTTGACCTGGTTGCAGAACATGGCTGGCAAACATTCTGAACGCAGCAATCACGCTGAAGCTGCGCAGTGTCTGGTCCATTCAGCAGCCCTTGTTGCTGAATATTTGAGCATGCTTGAAGACCGGAAGTACCTTCCTGTGGGATGTGTAACCTTTCAGGTAGGAATCTGCCAGATGTAAAGTAATTCCAGGTATGTCCTTTGCTGGTGTTTTCACTGGTTAGATTCATTCCCTTTGTCAGAAAACAAAGGGTGGTGGTGATGCTTTGCAAGATGAGTGAGCATTTCATTGATGTTAATAAAACTTTAAAGAGTTCTCCTTGTTTAGTTCTTCTTCCAGTTTCATTGTATCTGAATTATCAGTGCCATGTGTACTTATTCTGCCTTATAATTAGTTACGGATTTTATAGCATCTATAAAAATATTAAATTTTTTAAAATGAGAAGCTGATACCTAGGGCTCAAGTAGAAAGAAAATGTTTTGAGAATGATGATGGCAACAGATGTACAGATGTGCTTGACACAATGAATGGATGGATGGATGGATGGATGGATTGTGATAAGAGTTGTATAAGCCCCCAGTAAAGTGATTTGTAAAAAGTATTAGATTCAAAATACAGAGACTCAGAAGACAGTAGAGATTCTGAATTAGTTTTACCTCAGTTCACATACCAGATGAACCACCGTTCTCGATTATCTTTAAAACATGAACAGGGCTTCGAAACATTATGGAAAAACCTTGTTATATTTTAATTCCATTTGTTCATGAACATTTTGAAGCCCCCTCAGACTTATACTAACGGTGTAACTCACAGGTGAAGCATGACTCCCTCCTATATTTGTGTACATATCTCTGATCTCACTAATTTAATTCTTTCCTTGCTTACAACAGGTAGCTTTCCTCCAAAATCAGCTTTGACAAATTATACAGTTGAATGAAATATTATGTCAGCTGAAAAATAAATATAAGTGCAGAAAGCAAGCAAACTAAATTTCTCTGTAAATGCATGGGATACTTTGCAAAGACCACATAAAGATGAATATCCAAATGATAGCTATTGAATTAATTTGGGGCAAGGAAATTATAAAAGAACTGGCCAAAACTCCTAACAATACCCACAAATTTAAGTTTTCACTCTATAGTTTAATGAAATTAAAATAGAAGTCTTAAATGGAGGTTGCATTAAGGGTGTGTACAAGAGAAAGATTGCATGTGGAACTCTGATCTGGAGACCACAGAAAGACAATCCTCAAACCACCCCTAAAAGTTGGCAAATAACTGTGCAGCTACTGCAACGACTTGAGTTAAAATAGTTAGGTATGTGTGTGTCTAGCTCTTGGAGACACACTTGCTAATACCAAACGCATTGGGTGAAGGACATTCACTCCACCGGGCTTGTTTGTATTGCCGTTAACTTCATGTATCCTGCTAGGCAAGCCAAGAGACCATTGTTGAATTTTAATTTCTGTCACTGAGAAGTAAATCCAAAGAAATGAAACACTTTAAGTATTTTTGGATGTCCTGTGCCATACTACTTCTTTTCTTTTTTTTTAACTTAAACTTTTCACATTTTCCCCTAGAATATTTCATCTAATGTTTTGGAAGAATCTGCAGTGTCAGATGATGTGGTTTCTCCAGATGAAGAAGGTATCTGCTCTGGAAAGTACTTTACTGAGTCAGGACTTGTGGGATTACTGGAACAAGCAGCTGCTTCTTTCTCTATGGTAGATGACTCTTGTTAATTCTCCTTCCAGTTTCATACTGCTGAATTTTCAGTGACGCGTGTATTTATGCTCTCTGCCTTATGACCCCATTTTATCAAACCAAACTAAACCAAACCCACTGCATTTGAATCTATTCTGACTAGAAATTGACCCTAAAAACCCGAGTAGTACTGCTCCATGGGGTTTCCCAGGCTGTAAATCCTTCAAGGAGCAGAGACAGCTTTAACCGTCTCTCGGGGAGTATATGGTAGGTTTGAACTGGCAACCTTGTGTCAGCAGCCTAACGGTTAGCCCATTACATCACAAGGGCTCTTTCCGTTAAGTTACTTTTGTCTGAGTGCCTCAAGTTTCTTTATTTCTAAATTCTTAATTTTTTACACTTTTTTAACTTAATAAGTGATCACGCCCCCTGCGTTTCTCATTTACTACTTCATGAAATAGCACTTAACTACAACAGGTTTTTGGGTTCACAAAACCTTCACCACCAAATATTTCTAAAAATTTAACATTATACTAAAAAACAAAGTAGAAACAATTCTGGGTGATTTAGGCTCCTGCTTAGATAAACGAATATACTTCTAGAAATAGAGTGAGTACCCTCCATATAAGAAAGGATCTTCTTTTTGAGTGCATTGCCTTGGTGCCCAGCCAAGTGATGGCCACGCATCCCATCGGTTACGTATCTACCCTCTGAGGTCGATATTGTGGCGTGGTGCTTACTGTCAGGAGCTTAATGAACTGTTTCCCGAGTTCTTCCCTCCCACTGATAGGTGAGAAAGGGAAGCAGTCTGTTTGAGGAGGGAAAGATGGCTAATACTGACCTCTCTGTATCATGGTGACAGGGTCACATCACCTACTTTCTCTGACTTTTATAGTGAATGTTTAAAGTCTCAGTGCCAAAAATTAGAAGTGAGCTTTGGGTGGGACAGGGATAGGGAACGTTGGGTCTATGGACCATATAATGCTAGTAAAATCATCCATACCAACTAACATTACACACCTTCCTAAGAGAAGCATTTCCAGCCCTCACGTTATTGTTGTTAGGTACCATAGAATGCCATTAACTGACATCATTCTGCAGCCCGGTGAGGAAGCTAGTGTGTGCAGCAGAACGAACCATTGCCCTGCCTCACAATTGTTCCTATGCTTGCCCATTGCTGCAGCCAGTGTCAGTCCATCTCCTCGAGGACGGTCTTCTCTCTCACTGCCCCTCTACTTTAACAGACATGATGTCCTTCTCTAGGGACTGGGCTCTCCGGAGAACATGTCCAAAGTATGTGCTACGTTTTGCCATCCCTGCCTCTAAGGAGCACTCTGGCTGTCACATTCGGGACAAGCTAATTAAATGTTTGACCAGTTGGTCTACACATGATAATGGAATTATCCAAAGTGGCCTTTGGCAGAACAAAGGTCCTCCCCCCTCCCCCAGGTGCAGGATAAAGGGATGATTGAGGTAACTGTGGTTCTGCCCTCCTCCCCCAACATTGTGCTCTTACTGAAAATGGGTGTGTCTTACCCCTACTCTTCTGCCTGCTCTGTAATACATTGGGTTAACAGCAGAGATTCAGAAGCCACCTGCCAAAATTTGAATCTTACCTACTCCTACTTAGTAGCTTTACCACTTTGGGCACAAATTGCTTATTGGTGCCTTACTTTTCTCATGTATTAACTGAATTAAAAATACCCACCTCATAGGACTGCAGGATTAAGTAAGTTAATCAATAGAAAGTACTTGCCATCATGCCTGTCTCCAAGTGCCACGTTTGCCTTTATCCTTGTATTCATCAATATTGTCACTTAGAACCAGTTTGTTTACATATGAGGGGTACCCCCCAAAAAAACAAAAAAGAAAAACCAACAACACGGAATTGTGCTGGGCAGAGCGGAGCTTTCCTGCTAGGATAGCATCTAGCAACTCACTCTTGAGTTAGTGCACCAGTGGCATTGCCTGGGAAGGTTCTCTCTGGTCACAGTGAATTTTTTCTTAAAAGCAGTTTCTCTGGAACCTTGTTTTATATAATGGCCAATTTAAGAGCACAGCATGCAGCTGTGAAATTTTGTTTCCGGCTTGGGAAAATGCTGCAGAAACTGTTGTGATGTTGAACACAGCTTACAAGGACAACACTATGGGAAAAACTCAAGTGTATGAGTGGTTTACTCGTTCAAGAAAGGTGAAAATGTTTGATTACAAACCTTATTCTGGACATCTGACAACTTCCCGAATGGACAAAAGTGTCCACTCGTGGTGCATTTGGAGTTCATTTCACCAGGTCAGACTGTTAATCAAGCTTTCTATTTAGAGGCTCTGGAAAGATTGCGTTACAGTGTGAGACAAAGAAGGCCTGTGACAGGGACTGGTTTTGCCACCACAGTGCACCTGCTCACGCAGCCATCTCAGTGTGTCAGTTTTTGGCAAAAAAAAAAATGCCTCTCTTGCCCCACACACCTTACTCATCTGACCTTGCGCCATGTGGCATCTGTTTGTTTCCTTGAATGAAAAGGGACATAAAAGGACAGTGATTTGAAGATGTAGAAGAGGTGAAGAAAAAAACGGGAGGTGTTGTAAGCCATCCAAACAGGAGTTTGAAAAATGTTTCCAAGAATGGAATCATAGATTTGACAATTGTATTAAGTGTAATGGAGAGTACTTTGAAGGTGATAAGGTCATGTTGTAAAAAAATTTTAAATACATAGATTTTGGGGGGGAAATTCCGTTTTTTTGGAGGGGGGAACCCTCCAGTATGATAATTCTGAGAGATAGTTGTGTTTTCTAAACTGAAAATGCTAGATATTGCTACTTTTAAACATATCTTGCCCCTGGGGCCTTGACTGTCCCAGTTTCTCCCCCAGATTGCTGCTCCTTGAGTTGTAATGCACTGGTCTGAACTAGCAGGTGAAAATTGTTTTTCTGGTGTGGAATACTTCGGCATACCCAGAGTGTGTGTGTAATTTTAACAGTCCACAGTACATGTAGAGAAGGAAACACAGTAGTGAAATTAGATTGGGAGATATTTCATTCAGTTAGCACCCAGAGGAGTTTTGGAAGGAAAATCTGGCAGTCTACTTCCCCTTTAAAAAACAGTCATTAAAACCCCTATGGCGAACCACAAATCTACTCTGACATCCTAGAGATGACCGGAAAGCAGGGTGGACTCAGTGGCAACTGGTTGCATGTCATTATGGATCACCTACTTTTTTTTTTTTTTACTTTAGTCTCTTTAATCTTTAAAATAACTACTGGGGCATTTTAATTATATGAAATGTATTTCACTCTTATAGCTATATTATTGCTTAAATGTATTCCTATGACATGTCTAGGAAAAGTGAGGACCCAAGGTGGTTCCCTTGGGAAAATATGTTTGCCAACTTGTGAAGCCATGAAAAGTCCGTGCCTTTGGGGAAAGATGTTTATCTCTCTTCCCTGCATCCCTCAGTAGTCCAAACACATGATGTCCACAACAAACCATGTCAGCAAGCACACAGTAGGGCAAAGGATGATGTTGCAAAACCCCCTCATGCTTAAAGACCAGTGATTTTCCCACAGGAGATTTCATAAATGAGGCATGTCTGTACCAATTTATTATTTAAAAAAATTAGTGTTTTTGGTTTCCCAGGAGGCTATAGGTTGTCTAATTAAAAGAGAAACTTTTGTGACCAATGTAATGATTGGATTTCCTTTATTCTTCACTCCTCTATAAAAATGCATATGCATATACAAGTATATATACACATATGCCCATCTATACAGAGGATATATACTATGCAAACATTTTTATTAAGGCTTAATAGATTAAAAATTATTAACGTTTCCATAACTTTTGTCATATTGGAAAAGCTTCAATGATACTGTCTTAGTAGAAGTATTTATAATTTATAAATTATCATTATCTTACTTTCTCATTGATGCAAAATAAAAACATCTGATTAAAAAAAACACTTTTTGTAGGCTGGCATGTATGAAGCAGTTAATGAGGTTTACAAAGTACTGATTCCAATTCATGAAGCTAATCGGGATGCAAAGAAACTGTCCACGATTCACGGTAAACTTCAAGAAGCATTCAGCAAAATTGTTCATCAGGTAATGAATCTAATTTCTACCTTCGGTATAAATGGAAAAAATTGTCTAAAAACATGAATGTTGTTTTTACTGATGTCACACTTAATCCCATGAGGTGTGGCTGTCTTAATCAGATGACAATCAGTGTCAGAATGATGCTTCATGGTCTGCTTATTTATAATCATTGTAAACTTTCCACACAGCCTATCCCCGCCCGCCTCCCCTAGTTACTTGTTTAATTGTGAGTGTTTTGTTTTTACAGTGTGGCAGTACTTCTGACTCTGACATCCTTTTGCTGCCAAAAGAGTTTCAACGTTTCAGTTTACTTTTAAATGATGTGAAAGCTTATAAACTAATATTTCTATGAGTTCAAATGCATCTCAGCTGTTCTTCCTTGAGTTATCTGTATTCAGTTGTCCTTTAATAATATTTCTAATATGAAAAAGAAAATTTAGTGAAAATAATTACCACAAAAGTTACCTCTGAATATTTGGATTATAACAATATAATCTCAGTACTTGAACTTACAGCTCATTATAGAACCCTCATATTGTCACCTAAATTAACATCAGGGTAAAGTGGTTATAAATGAAGTCAGTTATCAGCTATTAATTTTCCTGAAACTAAAGCTGAGGCTCTGCTGATGTTCTCTGAAATGCCATGATGAGACTTCTCTTTCCCTCCCCCTATCTCTTCCCTTTGCGGCTGCTGCCATCGGTTAAGAAAGGTGGAGTGCTGATTGTTCATGTCTGTATTCAGTACTAGCCCTGCTTCACTGTCTCTCAACTTCACCTCCCCTTTCTTGCTCTAGGCTAAGCTTACTCTAAAGTGACGTAATCTGAAAACTTTAACAGTATTATCAGATATACATATACTGTCAAAGAAGCCTTATCCTACCCAGTCTTTATAGCTTTAAACAGAAAATTATGTTTGTCCTATCTGGAACATCTAGAGCTATTCGTTTCTAGGAGACTTTCATTGATTTGGCTTCGTAAAACTGGAGCAAAATTGCAATTGACATTCCAGTGTCACCGTATTAGCTGAGTAATTTCATGAAGTGCCTTTCACCTCAATTAGAAATCTAATGTAGAAAGAGAAATGGAGCAAGCAGCCAGTTCTTTCCTCAAGATTTATATTTGCAGTTAGTAAATGTTTTAAAGGTTAAATTTTAGGTGCTACATTTAACCAACAGATTTCTAAAATCACAGGTATTAAATGTAAGAGTATGATCTTTGAAGTATTCCGGTCCCCTTTATTTCTAGAGAATAAATTGTGGTATATAGTGCTTCATACTACCTAAAACTTACTTCTTCATACTACCTAAAACTTCTTCATACTACCTAAAATTTCTTCATACTACCTAGAACTTCTTAATACTACCTAGAACTTCTTCATACTACCTAGAACTTCTTCATATGACCTAGAACTTGTTCAGACGACCTAGAACTTGTTCAGACGACCTAGAACTTCTTTATACTACCTAAAACTTCGTTTGGCATTTTTTGTTCTTTGAAAACAGTTTTTCCTTTTGTTTTTTATGACATGCCCTTTTTTACCTTTTGTTACACAGAGTGCTGGCTGGGAGGTAGGTAATGTTTTAGTTAGTTAATGAAAGACACTAATAGATTGATCAGATTTCCTTTGCCAATGCTTTGCCCACATGTGCTAGCTGTGGGCATTCTGTTGCTATCTGCTATCAACTGAATTCATTAACCAAAGAAATTTTGTTAAAATGCTGTAAGTTATTTTAAGAAATGTATGATTCAGAGGTTACAGGCAGTGCATGGAAATCAATACATTACTCAAATGAGATTCTTTGGTAAATGAGCCACTCTGTCATCACTCTAGTGTGTTTTTATCCTGTAAAGCATTTTCTTTCATCAACATTTACACACAGATTTCTTTTTTAACCTTATTGTTTCACCTCATTTTACAGAGGTCGATTTATATATGTTATTGCTCAGAGGTGCAAATAAAAGTATCATATTTCATCTAATCTAAGATGCCATCAATTGTAAGACATGAAATTTTATGTACCTCTAAGAAAAACAGAACAAATGTGCTAAATATCCTCTTAGCTCAAAGGTGATTACTTTTATATAGAGATATTAAAATGTGGATCTTCCAAAAATACTGCCATTGAGTCAATTCTGACTCAGCAACGACGGAGGACGGAGTTGAAGCTACCCCTGTGCATTTCTGAGCCTGTCCCTCTCGACAGGAGTACAAAGCCTCATCTTTATCCCAAGGAGCAGCTAGTGGTTTTAAACCGCTGACCTTGTGATTAGCCGCCTAACTTAATCAACTATGCCATCAGGGCTCCAGTTTGCCTCTTAGAATTTATAACATCCTTTAAGCGTTCATTTTGTATTTGTTGTACTTCACCTTGAGTACAAGCACTGATGAGGAAAGAAATTCTCTTGTAGAAATTTAAATTTTGTTGAAGGAGTGGGTGAAGAACTACTGAGATTTTGAAATTTAATTTGACTTAATATTATGACAGTTTTTGTTTGTTTTAAAATAAATTGTGGATTGATGATTACTTGTTTATTTTTTTACATAGTAGTTAGGCTCCCGAGAATTATATATACATCCATCTTATTTGTAAAACACCAGTTGATTACTATTATTTAAAAAATTTTTGTAAAGGGGAAGAATTGTATAAAACTTTCCTTAATGTAGTTAAACGAGATAAAGCAAGGTGTTTAAAATCAGGTTTGTTTAAAGTGAGATCTACTTGTAAGACCTTGTCTGCTTTGCCTCGCACTTTTCAGTTCGGTTTAAAGTGAGTCAACGGCTGAGGCTTTGCGCTTCCTGGTTTGCATTGTGGTTCCACGAGAGAACTTGGAGTGAATGGTGTCATTGGGCTTTCTTCCAGTTCTGAGTTAGCCCCCACCATTTGCTTTTCTTCAGATAACACCAGTGCTATTATATCTACCTTAATTCTTCAGATAAAATGTGTGTGACCTTAAAGACCTTGAAGCATTCATTTCTATGGCCCGATTAAAAAATATTTATGAAGCATCTTGCCACAATTTTCTGTGGTCGTAAAGATCCCTGTGGATTTCTGGACATGAACTAGAACTCACTGAGAATTAGGCATAAAAGCATATATTGAAACCTCTGAGCAGTTCGTCAGTAGTGTGCTTGATGCTAAATCGACCCCTGAAAGGTACCGTTTTCACTGGTGTGACATTAATATCATCTGTCATCATTTGTATTATTGCATGGTAAAAGTTGCACAGATTTTATTTTCTTGTTTATACTTGTGTCACTACCTTTTGCTTGACCTTTAGCTTTTTAGCATCTAAATTTGTTGCACGCTTGCATTTTCTCTTGTAAAACGTTAATGGATGCTTGCATTTTAAAAATGTGTTTGCTACCATTTGCTGCTTATTTGTTTTGAAATTTCCCTAATTAAAATGCTTTCTGTTTTCTCTTCTCTTGCCCCTGGTTGCTGACCCTACTCCCTACTTTTACTCTTGTCTATTGTGGTAAGTTCCTACCTTGTGGATATTTTTCTTTGACTCTGTGTAAACTCTCATTATTTCATTTTATCTAAAAGCTATGCCAGTAAGTTTCTTAGAATTCTCACAGAACTCTCATGTGATTGGAATCTGGAGAACAATTTGCTCTTTATAGAAAGACTGAAATGATAACTCTCTTTGACTTATAGGAAAAGCCTTTCTGGGCGTTTATACTCATTGATTTGGAACATAAAACTTTTGAGTTGGCAAAGCTTTGTAGGCGAGAGAGAGAGAGAGAGAGAGAGAGAGAGAGAGAGAGAGAGAGAGAGAGAGAGAGAGTGTGTGTGTGTGTGTGTGTGTGTGTGTGCGCACGCACTAAAGATGACTCTAAAAATTGATGTGTACCAATTTGGTAAGTTAAACCATGCAAAATAAACAATCATCAATCCTTCATCAATCATCGTGGTGGTAAATTGTTTTGCGAGTTTTAATTCCTTAATAGCTTTTAATTTTCATTTTATTAAAGGCCCTTTTATTTTGCTTGAAACAATAAGAAATAAAATATGTTTTAATACTTTCCCTATTAATTTTAAATTTATTTTTGTTTGAAAGGCAGATACATCAGATTTCTCTGTGGGAATTTTTATTACCATTTCATACTTGTATATGTATTTTTTGTTTTAAAAGATATATGAGGAAACTTAAAACATTGTGGAAAAATGAGATTAAAAGATAATGAAATTTTTTCACAAATTTTTACCCCCTTCATATTTATCTATGTATCACATAGTGATTCTTTTTATAATCAGAAGTAGACTAATACAAGTTTATATTTTTCAAAAAAATTAATCTTCAAATGTTGATAATATAAAGTCACATGCTGCTCTTTATTTTTTCCCCCTTTCTATTTTTGAAAAATTACATGTTGTTTCTTTTTTTTTTTTTCTTAAATCATTTTATTGGGGGCTGGTACAATTCTTATCACAATCCATCCATCCACCCATTATGTCAAGCAGATTTGTATATTTGTTGCCATCATCATTCTCAAAACATTTGCTTTCTTTTTTTTTTTTTTTTTTTACATGTTGTTTCTTTAAGGGGAAAAGGAACACCCCAGCACACATCTTCTGCAGTCCTGGAAAAGACTAGGGAAGAGGAGCTTAACCTTAATTTTAACCTTGATTTGTTAACCTTAATTTTCCATTCTAAGTAACTAAAGGAATGTGGGGTAGTTTAACTCTTGAGATTGAAGTGATGCAAACCGACTAGACTGACTTCTTATTGGGCTAAATGGACATGATAGGAAACAGTATTTTCCTTTTTACATAGTAAGAAATAACTGTCCGCACTTCTGGGGTACAGTGGCTTCCGTTGAATTTTGCTTTAACCCACACTAAAGCTGCATGAGCTATCCAAACAGGTCAAAGCTAGAGCGGGATTCGAACTGGTCACTGCAAATTTGGGGAGGAGAGGGGTGAAAAATAAATTCCAAGTTGATAGGCCATCCTCTCCGGAGATATTCTAAAGAATAAATCGAAATGCTGTGGGTCGAAAACAACCAAGAATACTCAAGAACGAAAGTTCGGTCTGAAGAAAGCTAAAGAAGACGCAGTGTTGGCTTGTTAACTTGAGGAAGAGATACGTTCTGCTGGTTAGTCCCCAGTTGGTATAGACCCTGAACTGACTTTATTCTGCCCCTTTCAAATGGACAATCAACATTTACTCCATAGATCATTCTAAATACGATTTTTTTTTTCTGAACTGGGACATCTAATCGTCAAAATATAATTTCAGATAAGAAGTAGTGTAAGATACATCTTAGAAGAACATGTGTTGTAGATAAACCACCAACCTGATCTTTATACAGGTGTATAAATATACGGGAAGATGATACAGACATGCAGAAACTATGATCAAGGAGAACAGTGTATATTATGGGGAGGCTTTAGAATGTTCATGGAAAAGTGAAATTAATATATAACAGACTTTCCCACAAACTCTTGAAGCCCATTTATATGGAGGAAAACAAAACACTTAGGGCAGTGGTTCTCAACCTTCCTAATGCCGCGGCCCTTTAATAACAGTTCCTCATGTTGTGGTGACCCCCAACCATAAAATTATTTTCGTTACTACTTCATAACTGTAATTTTGATATTGTTATGAATCGGGCGACCCCTATGAAACGGTTGTTTGACTCCCAAAGGGGTTGTGACCCACAGGTTGAGAACCTCTGACATGGGGAAAAGGCACCCAATAATCCTCCAGGAAAAGCAGAAGTAGAAGATGGTTTTGACAAATCACACTAAATGCCCCTGAGTGTGTATATACCAATATATTGTATGGGAAACAGCTTAGACTAAGACGCCATAGATACTGGGTTTTAACTCCCAGCTTTACCACTTATCACTGTGACCTTGGGCAAGTTACATTTCTTCATTTACGAAATGAAGAAAATAATGGTGTGTATCGATACCATATATTAAGTAGTTAACCAATGTTTGACATGTAGGAAATAATTTTAAAAGTTGGAAATCATTAATTATGTTGTTACTTTGATGATTATTACATACTATTACATAAAAAATTGTAATTTATCTAATAAAATCTAACAAGTGTTACATTCCCAAGTTGATTAATAACTAATAATGAACTGATAAAGCTACATGTGTTCTTGCAGATGAATAAAAGTAATAGGAGGTTGTTGATATGGGAATTGGTTAACTGTGAAGGAAGCCTGGTAGAAAACGTGTGGGTCAGGATCAAGGAAGTTACAGAATCAGTGTCATGGTGGAAACATACCACTGCCACAACAGACTGTTTTTTTAACTAAAGAGAGAATACAAATTTCGAACACATGTAAGATATATTTGTCGTAAGAAAACTTCAGCAATGTAGGGACATGCTCCGTAGATTTACTAGGTGCAGGTCAGCTTGGCCACTAATCCCCCAGGTGATAGCTGGAGCCCACCGCCTGCTCTGTGGGATGAAGGTGTGGCAGTCTGCTTCCCGAAAGATTCGTCTAAGGCCCTTTCTGAGGTGCGTGGTTTGAAGTGTGGATTATTTGTCTGGGTTCCATTTTACTTTCCAGAAGACTCAAAGTAAAATACTAGAATTGTTAAGACGAGTCTGGAGTGTGGGGAGGAAGGGAAGTTTGAAAGAGTTCCTAACAGCAAATGCCAGAAGAAACATAGATAATAGGAAAGTGGGTTCTTTCCCCCCTTTCATTCAGAGGCTTCCATGGTCCCAAACTTAAATAAAGACAAAGCTGTGTTTTTCCAGAAGATGTGGTTATATGATTATGCTTTAATAAATTATCGGGCCAACAGTTTCAAGCTAAATAACATTTTCTCAGTTGAAAATAGATTTACTCAAACACTTAGCCTTCTCAGTTTTTAGCCTTATTCCCTACCACTTCCTCCCTCAAGCTAATGAACACACAAATGTTCATTGTAGATTCCAGTACTACCAGAATCCTCTCCGGTCTTACCTCCTCCTCCCACCTCCAATCACACTCACCACTTTCCTGCCACTCACTTTGCATGGGCTATTTCCGTTGTCCAGAATGTACTTCTTTCATATTTTCATGAATACCTTTCATTCAAATGTCACCTTGATGATCCTGATCCCCCTCTTGAAAGTTGCATCCTCCACCTTGGCCTCTGGTCTATCTACCATGAATACAGCAGTATTTGCTTCCACACATGTGCGTATGCGGGTGTGTATATGAAGATGTTCCCACCTCAACCTCCCTGGGGGATGTAGCATCCACTAAGATATCAAGTAATTCGCGTATACATTTTGGGGGTTGTTGTCTTTCTTACCCATCAGAATATTATGTCTTAGGAGGGTGGCGACTTTTGTTTCTTCTCTTCACTAATTTGCCACACGCATCTAGTACAATTTGCTGACACATAGTAGTCTTTCAGTAAACAAACATCTATTGAATGAATGAAAGATTTCCTTCACATACATTCTATATCTTGATTCTTCTCTTCCGCTGGAATGGCCGGCCCTAGCATTTGGCCAGTCCTTTGAATTGCAGGGTCATTTCGGGGTCACCTCTTTCGTGCCCTTTCCACTGGGATCAGTCATTCCATCCCAGTGGTTTTCTTTTCACACACAGGAATATAACACATAGTGTCATTTTTTGAATACATGTCTGACTCTCTTGAGTTCCTTGGTAGCAGGAATCAAGTCCCAATTTTATTTTTCGACTTACTGAGCATGAAGAAAAGCTAACATATAATAACCACTCAGTAGTTTTTTCCCTTGAACTAAATGTCAATACCAGAAAGGATATTAGAAGAGTTGACAGTTTTAAGCTACATTAATAAGACTCATTGCCCAGATCCAGGGAGACAGTGACCTACTAATCACATCATATCAATAGTAGTATGTCTATCTCTGGGACACTGTACTAAAAAAAAAAAAAAAAGCTTTGAAAAACAAATAAAATGCAAAAAAAATCATTCCTGTCATATGAAGATTATAGATTAATAGGGCACAGGATAGCTTAGCTAAAGGGAACGTATTTTAACCTGCCTTCACGTATTTAAAGGATTAGTAGTGTGTACAAAAGTATTTTAAACTGGAAATCCCTGAGGATTACAGCTAAATTATATTTTCATATTGGCTCTTTTGAAAAGCTGTAATGTACAGGGAAGTTTCAAAGGGTTTGTGTAAATATGGAATTAAAAGGTAACAGAACTTACCCACATACTTTCTGAAGGCCTCTTACATATATGTATATAACATTTTGAAAGTAAAAATAACCAATTGCTAGTGAATTTACTGAGATTTCCTATCCGATACCTCTATTCCTTGATTATGTCAAATTTTACTATTATAGTGTTGTTCCATTAGCTAATTGATGGCTTTATTAGAATTTTGATTGAATGCATTTATTCCATCTAGAGATTTCATTTCCTGTGGAAACCAGCCAATTATGAAGTTAATTGTTAAGTTGTAAAATAAGTTGTGAAAGTATGTGTGCGTGTGTTATAGACTCGAAGCGTCAATGCTTTAGTGCCACAGACCTTCTTAAAACTGTATATCAATAAAAAATGAGGGTTTTTTCAGTTACTGTACTCTTAATTTATTACAAAATGGTAAAATAAGGAGAGATTACCATTTTGCATAATTAACTAACATTTTAAGTGTATTGAAAAATATTCAGTACAAAGATTAGGTTTAAAGAGAAGTTATTTAAATACTGCGCGTGTTTATGTAGAGAGCAGTCACCACAAAGTTCTTCTGAAACAAATTTACATTGCTCTGGGTTGTAAGAGTGTATAGAAAGCTTCCAAATATTTATTTTTATTGAAGAGTTTGTCTTCAGATTCTTTTTGTGAGCATTAAGGTGACCATGTTTTATGTCTTTCCCCCCAAGTGTTGCATACTTGAAATGGAGGTGCAGTTCATGCATGTAGTGGGTGGTTTGGGGGCCTTCACAATAACCAACTGATTTTTTAAAAAATTACGTTCATACTTTTTTTCCCTCCCTTTTGGCTAAATTCTAGCTACTCTTTCCCACTTAAATGTTTTTATCAGCAGAAATCTATAGCTGATAGATGTTTATGCCTCAGTGCTTGGGGGTAGTGGGGGATTCACATGTACTGATAACCTGCGTTATATCAGGTACTCTGCTTATTAGCTTCTAACTTGTCATTTCACTTAGTATAAGTAAAGCTATTATGTAAGAACTGCTAACTGAAAAAGAAAGAAATGTGTTAATGTTGTTTTTTAATGTCATTTGATTTAAACAGTTAAGAGCTAGTCTGTGTTACACTAAACATCTTTTTGTGTAATAAAGAATAAAATTTATCTCAATTGTATGGCTTTCAGACATACAGCAATGTATACCTTAACTTTCACTTAAATAATAAGCTTTTGCAATGTCAATTTAAAATGTTTTGCAATATTTTAGAAATGTTATACTATCACATTAAAGAAAAGGCATTTCATTAAAGACTCTCCATTTTCCTAAACCTAGGATGGTAAGCGAATGTTCGGCACCTATTTTCGTGTTGGTTTCTATGGAACCAAGTTCGGGGATTTGGATGAACAGGAATTTGTGTACAAGGAGCCTGCAATAACCAAACTTGCAGAGATATCCCACAGATTGGAGGTGAATGCGCCATGGGTCATGCTGTCATCTTTTACTTCGGTTCTGTGATACATCCGCAGTGGGTTTTTCTTAGGTTGCTATGATGAAGAGATTTGCGGACCCAGTTCTAATCATTTGATACGCCAAAATTTGCCAAATAAATGAACCCCTTGGAGGAGATGGCATTTTGATAGATGTACTCATCCACTTTCAGATCTTTGAAGTGTCTTTTATATCATTAAAGTAATAATATTAACTTTATTCTTTTGAGGCTTTGTTGTCTATATCCCTCAGAAACCTGTAATTTACAGAGAAATGCAGAGTATTATTCATGTTTTATAGAAAGGGCACAAAGAATTAAATAGCATCCAATGGCAGGGTCGCTGTGAATCAGAAGCAACTCATAGCAGTGGGGTTTTTTTGAGTTTAATGAAAGAGCTCGAATTGGAACCCAAAGACTTTTCTGACACTGTGTGCTATCTCTTTGGCTTAACCTGAAGCCAGACCTTAGAAATGCCTCTCAGAATTCACTGTTATAACTTAATTTTCACCAAAATGATTGGTTTTCATAATTAGCCAATCTTCCTGTTAGAGTAGTTGTTTGCAGTCTTTATTCTTGCTACTCTTCGGTGGGAGGGAAATGCAAAATCTTAGGTTCCACCGCAGACCTTTGCAATCAAAATTTGCATTTTAACAAAATCCACTGTATACAAGTTAGAGAAGTATTGCTATAGGCTTATTTTTATGCTTAGCTAATGTCCATTTCTTGAATGGTATATTCTTAATGGTTACTTCTTTGGATTGCACTTTTCTCAGTAGGCTAAGCGATGTCGTCATGTCTTTGGGCCGCCGTAACAGATTACCAGTGATGATAGCACATAGCGGCTTGAAAGAACAGAAATGTATTGTCTCACAGTTCTTGGAGGCTAGGTGTCTAAATGGGGCGGCAGGTGGGGGAGGGGGTCCTGGATGTTGTGGTGAGCTTCTAGTTGGGCTGCTAACCACCAAGTCAGCAGTTTGAACCCACCAGCACTCCACAGGAGAAGGATGAAACTGCGCCCAGACAGAGTCGCAATCTGGAAACCCCACAGCAGTAGTTCCCTCACCTGAGGGGTGCCGTGAGTGGAACTGACGCCACGGCAGCGACTGTGATTTCTTTGGAGTCTGGCAGGGCCATATTCTCGGTGTGTTCTAGGGTCAGGTCCTTCCTGTCTCTTCCAAATCCTGGTAGTCCCCAGTGGCTCTTGGTGTTCCTTCCCTTAGAGATACAACTTTAGATGGTGTCTTACCCTGTGTGGCTTTATCTCCTTTTGCCCCTTTGTATAAGACATTATCAGAAGGGTTTGGGACCCACTTTGTTCTGCTGTGGTGTCCTTAACTGTTAATGTCTTGAGAGAAAGACCTTGTTTCCAAACAAGGTCATAGGCAAAGAAATGAAAATTTCAGCTTACTTTAGGGAGTTTGAGCATAACTCAGTCCAAGGGGCTAGATAAGCCTTGACAGTGCTTCCCAAACGCACCCAGTCATAAACGTTACATTTGAGGTGGGAGTTCTCTTTTCAAGGGTGGGTTTAATTTTTCCTGTTGAGAAGCCCTACCCAAATTCCTACTAAGTGTCATATGGAGAAGTCATTATGTTCTGACACAGGCCACTTTTTAGGTCTGGGTTTGTTGTTTCAAAATCTAAACCTATATAAAATCTTTTAAATACTTGTTCCTTGATTCATATCCATTGCCATCTAGTTGATTTTGGCTCGTAATGACTGTATGGGAGAGGGTAGAATTGCTACATTGAGTTTTTGAAGCTGTGAACCTGTAAAACTTCATCCTTATCCTGTGGGGCTGCTGGTGGGTTCGAACTGTTGACCTTGTTAGTGTAACCCATAATGCACTATGCCACCGAGCTCCTCAGTGACCCCTGGTCTGCAAGATATGAGCCCACAGCACACAGCGAATGGGAGACCCTGTACATTGAGCATAATGAATTCTGTCTTTGCTTTCTGTTCTCTTTGTTCTTCTTGAAGAACTCTTGTGAAATTCAGTTTATATTGGAAAACAGTGTTTTCTTATACATTGTGTCACTTAAAATGAGTAGATGATGATCATATCAAATAAAAATGAACTAAGACCATGCTAATTTGATAGACTAAAACAATGTGAACCTAATTTATTTTGAATTATTGGCATGGTTCTGTCCATGAGCAAATTCGCTGCCATCAGGCCCATTCTGGCTACAGGGACTCTCTAAGGATGCAATAAGACAGCTTTTTAGGGTTCTTGACATTGTACATAGGTATGGGAGCAGATAGCCTGATCGTACTCCCTTATCGCAGCTGCTGAGCGTGTGGTGAACAGTCCAGTATGTAAACCACTGTGCCACCTGGGCTTCTTATGGATGTGCAAGACCTTACTAAATGCTTTAATTGTGCTCAGCAGTCCCCATCAGAGACTATTGTTTAATTTGGTAAACCTTCATGTAAAAGATTTTTTCTCCCCCTTGACCATAGGGATTTTATGGAGAACGATTTGGAGAGGATGTGGTTGAAGTGATCAAGGACTCTAATCCGGTAGACAAGTGTAAATTAGACCCTAACAAGGTAAGGCTGACCGGACAGTGATGGCATGTAAACAGTTCTTTGAGATATTCCACATGGCTGCTTGAGAGACAAAATGCTGATTTGTCCTTGAGAAAATGAGGCCTCTTTCTTTTCCCAGGCATACATTCAGATTACCTACGTGGAGCCATATTTTGATACATATGAGATGAAGGACAGAATCACATATTTTGATAAAAATTATAATCTTCGCCGTTTCATGTACTGTACCCCCTTCACTGTGGATGGCCGTGCCCATGGAGAGCTTCACGAGCAGTTCAAACGGAAGACCATCTTGACGACTTCACATGCCTTTCCTTATATTAAAACTAGGGTCAATGTCACGCACAAAGAGGAGGTAAGTTCAACAAATCCAGCCCAGCTCCCAGTGGGCTGATTCTGACTCCCACCATCTCTGTGCAGAGTAGAACTACACTCCAGTAAATGAAGACTGTCGCCCAGTGGTTCTCAACCTTCCTAACGCCTCATGTGGTGGTGACCCCCCAACCATAAAATTATTTTCGTTGCTACTTCATAACTGTAATTTTGCCACTGTTATGAATTGGGTGACCCCTGTGAACGGGTCATTCGACCTCCAAAGGGGTTTCGACCCACAGGTCAAGAACCCCTGCTGTGACCATTCAAAAGCAGATTGCCAGATTTCCTTTGTTAATTGTTCCCCAGACCCACTGCTATCAAGTTGATTTCAACTCAACAGGAATCCTGTAGGACAGAGTAGATTTGCCTCCCAGGCTGTATATCTTTATAGGAACGGAAGTCATGCCTTTCTCTCTTGAGCAGCTGGTGGGTTTGAACCACTGACCACGTGGTTTGCAGTCCAGTGGGTAACCCACAGTGCTACCAGCATTCAAAACACCAACCTATTGGATAGGATCAAACACTTAACCATGTGTGCCACCCAGGAACTCTCATAAGTAGGAAATAGTAATGAGTAAAATTGATATATTGGAACTAACAGTGTAGATTTAATAGCAGATGTAGCGTCCCTCACATGTTAGTAAAGTAGGAGTTTAACCAATTTTGAGTCATCCATTGATTCTTTTTTTACTTTTAATGTTGTTTTTAGATAATCAACAGACTGGTTTTTGTTTTGTTTTTTAAGAGCAGTTTGAATTCTATAGAACATTGAGCAGATTGTAGAGAAATCCCCGTTACAGCTTCCATTAGTGTAGTACTGCATATAACAGCTCCATCTGGCCTCTGGCTTGCGTAGTGCCACGAGGCCGAGTTCAGATAGGTCTCCATCCTCCATCCTTTACCCTATTCTGACAGCTATCCATTCCTCCCACTGCACTGAACAGTCATTGTAATGGCCACACAGGATTCACAGACAAAACGCAGAATTTGGGCATTATTGGGGAAGTTTACAGGTTACCACAAGTCAGGACCAGTAAACAGGAAGGACAGTCATTAGTACACCACAAGACCTCCTCTGAGCCAGCAGTCTAGTCTCCAGTTCTCAGCCTCTCAGCCATGTGGTCCCTTGGCTTCTGCCTCTGTGGCTAGGAAGCCAGCCTGCACTGCTGTGCCTCAAAGGTTCATAGTCTCAACACTGTTCCTTTGTTCTGTCTCCTGGTTTCAGCCTGGCTCCTTTGCTCTGGCCCTTGGTCTCCATGCCATAGCCCATCCTCTCAACCTCTGCCACTTCAACAGAAATCTTGAATGTGCTTCACTGCTAAATGTCCTGGGATTTCTGCCTCTGCTCCTGCTTCCAAGTTGACTCATTCTTACAGCCAGGGAGGTGGTAATTAAAACTGACCCTCTAGCAATAGAGGAAAGAACTAGGAGGCAAAGGGTATTTATAGAGGTCTAAATACAGGCATGTACATATGTAAATATGTATAACGATAGGGAAATAGATCCATGTACATATATTTACATGTTAAGTATTAAGGTAGCAGATGGACATTGGGACTCTACTTGAGTACTCCCTCAATGCAAGAACACTTTGTTCTATTAAACTGGCATTCCATGATGCTCACCTTCCCAACACGATTGCTGAAGAGAAAGCAGGTACATAAGCAAATGTGATGAAGAAAACCGATGGTGCCAGGCTATCAAAAAATATAGCATCTGGGGTCTTAACAGCTTGAAGATAACAAAGAGAAGAGAAGCAACAAAGCTCACATGGAAGATGCACACCAGCTTGTGTGATCATGAGGTGCCAATGGGATCAGGTATCAGGCATCAAAGACCTAGACCAAAAAAATCCTTTTGATGTGAATGAGGGGGGAGTGGGAGTGGACACTCAAAGCCCACCTGTAGACAATTGGACATCCCCTCACAGAAGGGTCACACAGAAGAGACAAGCAAGTCAGGGTGCGGTACCACAGGTTACCACATGAAACATACAACTTTCCTCTAGTTCTTTAATGCCCCCCTCCCCACTATCATGACCCCAATTCTACCATACAAATCCGGCTAGACCAGAGCATGTACACTGGTACAGATAAGAGCTGGAAACAGGGAATCCAGGACAGATAAACCCCTCAGGACCAATAATGGGAGTAGCGATACCACGTGGGTAAGGGGAAGCTTGGGGAAGAAAGGAGGAACTGATCACAATGATTGACATAAACCCCTCTCTGGGGGACGGACAACAGAAAACTGAGTGAAGGGAGATAATGGTCAGTGTAAATTATCAAGGGTTTATGAGGGGAGGGAGAGGGGGGAGGGAAAATGAGCTAATAGCAAGGGCTCAAGTAGAAAGAAGAAGTTTTGAGAATGATGATGGCAACCTACGTACAAATGTGTTTGACACAGTGGATGTATGTATGGATTGTGATAAGAGCTGTATGAGCCACCAAGAAAATGATATAAAAAAATAAATAAAAACAAAAGGTACTTAGACACATATAAATATCATTAAAATATATGAATTTAAAGAAACAGGACAAGAGCCAAAATATATATAAAACTAAAAAAGCAATATGACTTCTGTTAAGAGAATAAATAACAATTGAAAGTTAAAAAAACCTGACCCTCTATTAGTGTTACACACAACCTATTTACATAGCCCCACCCAGTCATTTGGTGGGAGTTACAGAGACATGGATAGAAGAACCATATTAAGAAATTTCACTCCACCATAGATACATTTGTTACAATAGATAAACCAATATTAATACGTTGTTATTATTGATTGATGTTCATAGCTTACCATAGGGCTCACTCTTTGTGGCATACAGTTTTAAAAAATTGGTTGCTTGCCCAGAATGCCTCATGGTTGGAACTGCGGGATGCTGCTTCTAAGCATCTGTTGCACTGAGCAACAGGTATATGAGATGCCCCATGTCTCTGGCTGCTCATCTCATTTCTGTCTGTGTCTACATACCACTCCATTGTATGGATGCAGCAGTTTGTTTATCCATTCACCTTTGCAGGGCAGCCTGGTTGCTTCAAATGTTGGCAATTAAAAAATAAAGCTGTTGTAAACATTTAAATACATTTTTTGTGCATGCATGTTTTCCACTGGTTTGCATAATCATCTAGGGTTGTGATTGCTGGCTCACATGGTTAAGACTATGTTGTCAGGTGCCATCGAGTCAGCCCCAGCTCACAGTTACCCTGTGTATGACAGAATGTGACACCTCCTGGCACTGCGCCACCCTCACAGTTATTCTTGTATCCTGTAGAGGACCTTCCTTGTCTTTACTGGCCCCTGTGCTTTACCACGTGTGAAGTCCTCTCCTGAGAACATGTGCGCAGTACATGTTTGTACCCTTTCCAGAGAAAGGGGAACCAACAGAATGCTCAAACATTAGAACAATATCATAGATATCAAATGCAACTAAAACTTTAATGAAGATCATCCAAAAATGGTTGCAGTAGTACATTGGCAGGAATCAGCCAGAAATTCAGGCTGGTTTCAGAAGAAGACATGGAACAAGGGATATTGCTGATATCTGAAGGAATTTTGGCTCAAAGGACAAAATACCAGAAATATGTTTATTTGTGTTTTATTGACTATGCCAAGGCATTTGACTGTGTGGATCAAAACAAACTGGATAATCTTGTGAAGATTGGCAATTCCAAAATATTTCATTGTGCTCACACAGAACTTGTGCATGAGTCTAGAGGCTGTTGTGTGAACAGAACATGGGAATAGTGCATGACTAAAATCAGAAAAGGTGTGCATCGGGGTTTTACCATCCTTCTTCACCCTGCATGCTGAGAAAATAATCAGAGAAGCTGGAATATATGAAGAAGGAGCGGAGAAATGCTTGTTAACAACCTGGGATGTGCAGATGACACACTTTGCTCGCTGAAAGTGAAGAGGACTTGAAGCACTTGCTGATGCTATGGGAGGATTCCAACAGCATGGATGACAAGACAGTGGGTAACATGACAAATGGATAAAAGATTGAAGTTGGCAAGGATTCATCTGACTTGGATTCACAATCAATCCTCAATGGACACCTTGAGATCAAAAGAGACATTGCATTGTGTGAGACCCCTCCAGAATATTGAAAACCAAGGATGTTACTTTGATGACTAGGGTGCATATTTTATTTCCTTTTTTTAAAAAAAAATCATTTTATCAGGGGCTGTTACAGATATTATAACAATCCATAAATCAATTATATCAAATGAACTTGTACATTTGTTGCCATCATCATTTTCAAAACTTTATCTTTCTACTTGAGCCCTTTGATATCAGCTCTTCTTTCTTCCCCTCCCACCCTTAGTAATTTTATGTATATATATTTTTTCACATCTTACACTGTCTGCTGTATCCCTCCACCCACATTTCTGTTATTCATCCCTCTGGGGCAGAGTGGGGGTGTTTATACATCCATCATTGCTATCAGTTCCCCCTTTCTCCCCTCCCACTCACCCTCCCCGTACCCTCGTGGTAGCGCTACTCCCATTACTGGTTCTGAGAGGTGTGTCTGTCCTGGAATTCATGTGTTGAAAGCACTTACCTGTACCAATGTACATATTTTTGTCTTAAGAGGATTTGTGAGGTAGAACTGGTGTTACCATGATGGGGAACTAGAGGAATGTTGTGTGTTTCGCCAGTGCCACACTGCCCCCTGGATAAGTCGTCTCTTCCGTGTGACCCTTCTGTGAGGAAATGTCCAGTTGTCTACAGATGGGCTCGTTTGTTTGATCTCTGATGCCTGATCTCATTGACATCTCATGATCACACAGGCTGGTGTTTTTGCTCCATGTGGGCTTTGTTACTTTCTTGTTAAATGGTCACTTATTTAACTTCAAGCCTTTCAGACCCCAGATACTATATCTTTTCATTGTTGGGCACCATCAGCTTTCTTCACCACATTTATTTATGTACCCATTTTGTCTTCAGCGATAGTGTCGGTATAAGTACATGGATCAATACCCCTATCTTGATATATTTATATATTTACATATATACCTGTCTGTATTTATACCTCTCTGAACAGCTTTTACCTCCTAGCTCTTTCCTCTATTTCCTTTTACTTTCCCCCTGCCCCACCATCATGTTCTTGTTCTAGGGTGCGTATTTTCAATCCCCTCATATGCATGTGAAAGTTAGACACTAAGTAAGGAAGACCAAAGAAGGATGGATGTGTTTGAAGTGTGGTGCCGGAGAAGAACATTGAAAGTACCATGGACTGCCAAAAAGACAGAGAAATGTGCCTTGCAAGAAGTACAGCCAGACTTCTTAGAGGCAAGCAGGTTGGCCAGGTTGTCAGGAGAGACCCGTCCTTGGAGAAGGACATCGTGCTGGATGAAGTAGAGCTAGAGGGGCAGTGAAAAAAAGGAAAGCATTCAACGCGATGGATTGGCATAACTGCTGCGACAATGGGGAAGGAAGCATGAGCGCAACTGTCAGGAGGGCACAGACCGGGCAGTGTTTCATTCTGTTTTGCACAGGGTCACTATGAGTTGGAACCAGCTTGATGGCACCTAAGAACAGCAACAATTCTCTTGGTGCATTGTCACTGGTACCATGCATCGTGATCACTGTTGCCTGCTAGTAAGGCTTTCAGTCAGGTCGTGTCAGTTTTCTGATTTTGTTGATCTTTAGTACTCTCGATTATAAGGATTGTATTATCTTAATTTATATTTTCTGGGTTCTAATGTCTACTGCAATTGCTACACGGAACTCAGACAAAATTCATGATTTTTTTAATTTAAAAAGTTAACATTTTATAATGCCAGTGAGAAATGCTTAGGGTTGAGTTGTTTAACAGGACATGGTACACTGTTCTTTCAGGTCTGGTGATAAATGCCCAAAGGCATACCACTCCGCTTTAAGCCTCAACACAAAGGCATTCCGTTTAAGCTTTCTGGGTCAGTAAGCCCAGCTCCCTGAATTAGTGTCTAGAGGCATCATCCAGAAAGCACTCAGCTCCGCTTCCATGGGCCAGCACGTCCATTTTCCCCCATTAATTGCCAGGAAGCACCCTACTCCCGAAGCCAGCTTCCTGGCAATTAATGGGGGAAGATGGACGTGATTCTGCCGCTGTTCCTCTAGTGATGTAGCTGCCTTCTGGATCCAGAAGGTTCCTTTTGCAGGGATCAGATGTGCTCCACTCCTGACTCTTGCTGGTAATGTGGTCCTTCCTGCTTCTCGGGGGCTCATTTTATGCACAGCAGGATAGCAGTCCAGCGCGTCCTGTTCAGTCAGAGTCACCCACAGGTGAATCTTATCAGTATCTTCCCCCAGCTTCTTACCATGCCCATGCAGGCCAAGGTCATTTGATGGGAGTTAAAGACCAGTGGGAAGAGCCACAACAAATAATTCACTGTCCCCGCAAGAGTCTTTTGCTTTTCCACGTAAACGTTAAAATTAGTTTGTCAATACCTACAAAATTAACTGCTGGAATTGGGATTGTGTTGAATATATAGATGAAGTTGAGAAGTCCTCCTACCCAGGAACATGGGATAGGGGCTTATTTATTTAGAATTTTGCTTTGTTTTATCAGCATTTTGTAGGGTTTTGTTGTTGTTGTTTAAATCTTGTACATATATATTTTAAACATTCCTAAATTCTTCATTTTTAAGAACTTACTAATATAAATGTGCGTTTTTTAAATTTCAAATCCAGTTGTTCACTGATGGTTTATAGGAAAGGAATTTATTTATTTATTAACATTTATTATTAATTGGGAGTTAATACATGTATCACTTCATAGTTCAGTCATGTCAAGCAGTATTGTACAATTGCTACCTACCACAATCAGTTTCCAAATATTCTTTTCCTTCCTGGACACTTTGACATCATCTCCTTTTAACCCACCCTCCCCTCACCATTGTAAACACCCCTCCCCCAAAACAAAACAAAACAAATCCTTATTCTATTGTTGACCCTATAGGCTCATAAGCCTTGGGTTTCATACACCAAAAAGCAAAAAAACATATAAGACAACCTCAAGAGGGTGATTCCCAGTGATCTCTGAGATAAACCCTAATATGAACAAACAAAAATAGAGGAAATGTTGAAAACCAGATGAGGTGCAGTGCGCCTCAGAGAGGAGGGTCAAATGACAAAGTTGTAACTGTTCAAGTCAGGTTTATCTTATTGATCTTCTATCCTTACCTTTCCAGTGCACTCTCCTCCCCGTCCTCCATTGTGGAGAGAGGGAGCTCACCAGAGGCTGATTTCCTATGTAGTTCCCACAATGTTATCTTGGGCTCCCACTGTCATCCATAGCTTTCTGAAAACTGGATTCTCACAATTCAGGCTCTGCTACTAATGGGAATTTATTTTTGTAAAGTATCCTTGTTTCCTGCAACTTTTGCTGTGGATACTTACTAGTTAAGGGCTTTGCTATTTTTGATAGACTTTTTTAGGATATTCGGAGTAGAAAATCAAAATCAATGTACAAGCAAAGACAGATTTGTCTCTTTCTTCTCAGTTGGCACACACCTTATTTGCTCTTCTTAGTGTACGTTAGTGAGGACTGCCAGTGCGCTGTTGAAGACAACTAGTTAGATGGGATATTCTTGCCAGGTTCCCAGTCCGAGAAAGTAAGGCGTGCAGTTTCTCATAAGTATAACGTTAATTGTAGACTTTTTCGAACTATCCTTTATTGTGTTGAGGAAATGTCCTTCTAGTTTGAATTTACTGAAAGCTTTTTTCACAAATGGATATTGGGTTTTGTCAAATGCCTTTTCTGTACCTACTGATATCATTATATGATTTTTTCCTTCATTAGTCTGTTGGTGTGATAGATAACATTAACTGATTTATAATTAGCCTCTTCTTTTTTTGTAGTTTTAATTTTTTTATATAGAAAGCTCATTAAATAGCTTTCCATCACTGGACTGACATCAATTATATGAATTATTTCACCCAGGTCATCTTGACGCCAATTGAAGTTGCTATCGAAGACATGCAGAAAAAGACACAGGAGTTAGCATTCGCAACACATCAGGATCCCACAGACCACAAAATGCTCCAGATGGTCCTTCAGGGATCTGTAGGCACAACCGTGAACCAGGTCAGTTCTCTGTGCTAACGCTGTGCAATTGCTGTTGCCATGGCGTTTGGAATAACCTAATTATTTACACGTTTTCGTTGTCACCAGTAAGTGTTAAACCAAGTGGAAGAATACGTGTTTGAGATGAATGTAAAGGAGATGAGAGTTAACTACAAAACACAAGTTGTGTTCTTTTTTATATGTATTGTCTTCGTAGTGTAGGTGTTCCCTACTGAGTTCTGCACTACCTGTCTGCCTTCATCCTGTCTATTAGGGAGTCAGCTCACTTAAAGTGACCTTTCCTTTAAAGTTTGTACTGAAAGGATGTTCTGAAAAGGAGGGTCCATTTTCAGAGCTATGCACATGCAGATGAACTCCCACTACCTTAGACACTTCTTGATAATATCTTTTCCCGGTCTGCTTCATAATCTGATGTGAGGAGTAAATAAGCGGTGTAGTATCATTTTGAAAATTAATAACATGTAAGCAGATGTTACTCTGGCTTTGCTCTATGAGACTAGAAATGACCCCCAGGACAGGCAAGCCCCCAGGTTATGCACATACAACTTGCAGTCAGCTCCTCCTTGCCGGTATGCAGGGCTGCCAAGCAGTTCTTTCCTGTTTTGGTTAACAAAACAGGCTGGGATTTCACAACGTGGGAGCCTCATCACAGCAACACACTCAGTTCTCAGCTCACTGCCACAGAGTCAGTTCCAGCTCATAGCGACCCTGCAGAACAGGGTAGATCTGCCGCGTGTTTCTCCTGAAGGAAGGAGCCGATACCGTCAAATTGCCCCTCTTTCAGCTCACACATGAGTGTGTTAGCCACTCAGGAACCTTTTCCATTACATTTAAATAAAGCTGAATAAAAAGTATATGCCCCTTTTCTAAATGATCTACAACTGTGAAAGACACAGCTAGGTACAGATCTCATTCATAACCTGGAGGCTGCCTTTGTCTCCTTTTAGTTGGTTCATTGGGATTCTTCTGATCATTTAGGCCTAGCTTCAATCTTTAGAAATGGTCTATGGTAAGGGCAAATTCAGAAAAGCTTTACATAAAATTTTTTACTGTCTCTCCTGACTATTTTTTAAGTTAAAGGAACAAGCAAAATTCTCCTAAAACTGAAGTAAACACCATCCACTTTTTATCCCCTAAAAACACACACAAATGCCATTTAAAGATATGACTTACTCACAAAAGGCCATCTTACTCAAATTGACAGGGTCGGGAACACATTTGAAACGGTGAGAAACAATATTAGCAAGCTCAAGTTCGGTGGTCAGTGGCTTGGCAGTTGGAATAGACTGACAAGTTTTTGTCAGACTAAATTAAAGAAGGTAACCACCTCTAGAGAAATCACATGAACGAATGCAGTCGTCCTTCAGGCCCTGCTCTGTGTCTTTAAAGACTGAACTCACAAGAAGTCCATTTCAGTAGTGAACTAGAGAGATTCGACAATAAGGCAGACTCACAGCTCATTACCAGACGGAGTGAAGCCATGGACCTGGATAAACCAAACCTAGTCCACTGCCATTGAGTCAGTTCTGACACAGTGACTCCCCAAAGAGTTTCTGAGACCGCACATCCTTACAGGAGCAGGCAGCCTCCTCTCTCTCCTACAGAACGACGGCAGCAGGTTTGAACCAACTTTGTGGTCCGCCGCCCAGTGCCTACGCCACAACACCTGCAGTCTCCGTGTCGATACATGTATCCTTGCCTTCCTGAGGGCTAGCATCCTGGCGAGGGGGATCACTCAGGTAAACTAAGTCCTTGTGGCGCTACAGAAGGAGAAACACACGCTCCTGTGTTCTTGTTTCACAGGGGCCCTTGGAAGTTGCCCAGGTGTTCCTGTCAGAAATACCCAGTGACCCAAAGCTCTTCCGACATCATAACAAACTGCGACTCTGCTTTAAGGATTTTACTAAAAGGTACTCAGATCTTCCTGCATAAAAATTGCCAAGTTAAAAACAAATCCATTGCTGCAATAAAGGGCTTAAGGAACCATCGAAAAGAGTCAATGCAATGAGGCTTCAAAAGTTCACAGGAGAGTTGATTGAAAAGATAATAGAATTTTCCCTTGACCTTTTTGAACCCTCTTTGGTTTACAGTGAGAAATAATCTATGTATAATTTATAATTTCTTAGTAGTATATATTTATTCTTTCCACACACACATTTTGTGCCATAGTTTTAGTTTGTACGTTTAAAACTAGTGCTCAGGATATTTTTGAACCTGAGAATATTGCTGTACAACTTGACTGCAGAACTGTTTATTTGTTGTGAACTTTTCAATGTGTGAGTTTCAGCCTCCTCCCACTTCCCACACGAAACATAACCAACAGACATGGAAGCAAAAGATCTGTGTTCAAATTCTGGCCACATTGTATGCCTATTTCCAGGTCACTTAATTTCTATAATCTTTTTTCGAATCTACAAAGTAAGGATAATAATAATGAATACCTTTTACAGGGTGGTTGTGTAAATTAACTGCAGTAATATATGGGTGTGTTTAGGGTTCCCAAGCCCACCCCCAGGTTCACTAAGTGACTCGCTAGGAAGCCTAATGGAACTTAGCATAAAGTGAATTCATGGCAATATTAATTCTAGTGAAAGGGTGTGAAACACAAGCAGCTAAAGAAAATGGTGCATGGAGTGTGGTCTGGAGGAAGCCAGGCATATGCTTCCAAGAATTCTCTCTGAGTGGAGCCGCACGGCTGTGCTGAATTCCTTCAGCAAGGAGGTAGCTCAGCTTGTATAAAATGTTGTGTACCGGGGAGAATTGTTACATAGGCACCCTATGCCCAACACTCCCCAAACCCTAGACTCCCAGAAGGAAAGCAGGGATTTCATAAGCCATATTGCATATATAAACAGTTGAGGTATCATGAGCTACTCTTATTCCTTCTGAGAATGACAGGAATCCAAATTCTAGATACCAGCCAAGAACCAACCTGGGAAGCCTGGCCTTTCTAAGGCTATCAGTCTGCAGCCTGCTATGTTAAGTCTTTTCTGCACACTGGGGAGTACTTGGTTCAGTCCCGGGAGAAAAGGACGTCGTATTTGGTAGAGTGGAGGGGCAGCGAAGAAGGTCCTCCAGCAGTGGCTGCAACAGTGGGCTCGAGCGTCGAACAGTTGTGGGGGTGTTGGAGGACTGCGCAGTGTTTTCTTCCCTTGGGCATAAGTCGAACAGTTGTGGGGGTGTTGGAGGACTGTGCGGTGTTGTCTTCCCTTGGGCATAAGGTCACTGTGGGGTGGAGCCGACTCGATAGCATCTAACATCAATACTTGGTACATAATAAACAGATGTTCAATAGTACATTTTGGAGCAGTAGTAAAAAAGTTGCTTATCTGCTAGATACATGTTTCCTACCTTCCTTCATCACGTAGAAGAGGGTGCTTCATTCTCCGGGTGGTGTTAGAGGAGGGTTCACACAGGAGTTGGCATTTGGACTTTAGCAAAGGAATATTCCTTTTTCAGGCGGAAACGAACGCTCCACATAGCCTGAGGAAAGTTCAGAATCTGTTGCAAAAGACAGTGGTCAAGTAAATCTGGGAAGAGAAGGCACCCCCAAAGGAGTGGAAAAGTAGACTGGGATCAAAGAGAAGGGGTCTTGCCTTGCACACCGTTAAGTAAAAGCCTTGAAGTCACCTGACAAGGCAGCATCAGAAGTGTAGTCAGAGCTCAGGCTTTGATTCCCGACGAATTATGGTCTTGCCTATAAAATCATTCGCTGAATGAATTTATTAGGAATTGAAATAGTTTTACTTTGCATCTATTTTGTCGTCAGAAAATAAAAATGAGGTGTTAGCCATGTCTCCTGTGTAAAAATGACAACCATCTAAAAGAAAAACGTGAATCAAATTCTGAAGTTTTATCATCTGATGATGGGACTTAGATGGCCTTCCCTGGAGCCATCGCTCCGAATGTACAGGAGTAGGTGAACTCTGGTCGCGAAACTAGGAGCCCTGGTGGTGCAGTGGTTACACGCTGGGCTGGGAGCCACGAGGCCGGCCCCTCAGAACATCCTCAGGAGAAAGACAGGCCTTCCTACTCCCGCAATCACTTATCACGTCTCAGAAACGCACAGGGGCAGTTCAGAGGGTTGCTATGAATTGCCGTCAACTCAATGGCAATCGGTTTGTTTTTTGGTTAAGTAATGAAAAACGCCTTCTGTTTCTTACCTGTAGAGTTGGCATATTTTTAGCATTAACTTTATTATTTGGGAGATTTCATATAAAACAAAAACAAAGCCTGTCTTTGTGAGCCAGATGATTTCAGAACAATACCTGCTTTAGATCATAGGTATTTAATTATCATGAAGAGCTATCTTTTTCCCTGTTATTGTCTTGACTACAGTCCTAAACATATTCCCCGTTTTCTTTGCTACAGGGGAATGAATTATTACAGTCAATAGTTCTTCTGACATAGCACTCGCAGTAAAGATTCCCCCTAAATGAGCAAAACAAAACCCTCCTCCCCAAATCCCCTCTTCCTGCCACAAAAACATGTATGTCTTATAAGGATAGTCATAAAACCCTAAAACCAAATTCACTGCCGTCAAGTCACCTCGGATTCACAGTGACCTTCTAGGTCTAGGACAAGGCAGAAAAGCCCTTACGAGTTTCCGAACTCTTTACAGGAGTAGAAAGCCCCATCTGTCTTTCTGCCAGGGAGCAGCTAGTGGTTTCAAACTACGGACCTTGTAATTAACAGCCCAGTGCATAATCACTGCACCACCAGGGCTCCCAAAGATAGTCATAGCCAATACTAAAATTTCATTTATGTGTATGACCTTTCATTTTTATTCCTATATAAATATATTTTGTTGTAGTTCAGCCCTAACGTGCATATAACAATATGCATTTATTTTCCAAGTAAACTATCTTGCAAGTTATTTCATCAAGTTAATATGCTACTTACATTTTTCTGCCCTGATTATCTGAATTTAGTTCGGTCTCTCAGTAATCCCGGGCCATGGAGTCTCTTCCAATTTACAGTGACCCAGCGGACAGAGCAGAGCTGCCCTGTGGGTTTCCAAAGCTGTCCGTCTGTACATGAGTGAGAAGCCTCATCTTTCTCCCACAGAACAACTGGTGCATTTGAACCGGTGACCTAGAGGCACTGTGGCAAAAGACTTGGAAATCTACTTCTGAAAGATCACAGCTTTGAACACCCTACAGAACACTTTCACTCTACACCCTTGGGGTTGCTAGAAGTCAGAATTAACTTAGACTGTAATTAAGTAACACTAGTTAACACCATAGTGGATTTTTTTAATTGGATTTTTCCACTGGGATAAAATTTTCAGCATGAGATTAATGAGCCAAAGTGCATGAGCATTTTTATTGGTTCTTAATTTGTGGTGTATTCCCAAAAGGTTATAAGTTATTATAGTGTACCAAGAATGTAAATGTTCTTCAGGGAAGAACGGAAGATCCCTTCAGGACCAGTGGTGAGAGTCGGGAGGGTGGAGAGAGGATGGGGTAGAAGGGGGGAACCGATTACAAGGATCTACATATGGCCTCCTCCCTGGGAGGCGGACAACAGAAAAGTGGGTGAAGGGAGACGTCGGACAGTGTAAAATATGACAAAATAATAATTTTTAAATTATCAAGGGTTCATGAGGGAGGGGGGAGCGAGGACGGAGGGGAAGAATGAGGAGCTGATACCAGGGACTCAAGTAGAAAGAAAATGTTTTGAGAATGATGAGGGCAACGAATGTACAAATGTGCTTGACACAATGGATGGATGTATGGATTGTGATAAGAGTTGTACGAGCCCCCAATTTAAAAAAATGTAAGTGTTCTTATATGTTGTAGGTAATGCCATTTAAATCATGTGTCTTATTATAGTTTCTTTCAGGTTTGGACTTTTAAATCTTCTTTTCGTTAATTGTTGACTGGGTTAAAAAATATGTTTAAACGTTTGCTATTAAAAACAAGAAGACAAAAAATATGTACCTATCACCCAGCGTAAGAAATAGAGCATCATCAGTACTTTGAGGTTCCCTCTTGTAATGTCCCTCCCTGACCTCCCCTGGTCTCCATCCCTCCCTTCAGTTAAAACCATTCTCCTGGCTTTTCATGTTTATTATGCCCTTCTCTTGAGAGTCTTATCATCTCTCTAATATATATAGTTCCGTTTTGCATGATTTTTAATTATCCAAATGAAGTCTTCTGTGACTTGTTATTTTCAATATTTGTGATATATGTGCTAACAATATTGTTAAAGTTAATTTATTTTTCTTTATTCCATTATATGAATGTGCCACAATTTATTCATTCCTTTATTGGTTGGCATTTTGGTTGTTTCCCGTTTTTGAGTATAAATAATCTTACATAAATCGTTCTCTACCATTTTCTGTATTTATACGTGCGTGAAGTTTTCCAGGGCTTATGTCTAAGATTACTGATGCTTGTGCATAGGTTCAACTTTATTGGATGATGATACTTTTACTTTTGTTTTACCCCCAAAAATGTGTAAGCTAGTTTACATTTCCACTATGCTGTTTGCGATAGCCCCTGTTGACAAGTATCTTACTGGTGCTGGTTGACATTATCTACAATTTAACTTTTACCAATCTGGTGTGGGCATGAAATGAAAGTGATTATAGATTAAATTCTCATTTCTGATTACCAGATAGGTTGAAGATCTTTTCATGTGTATATTAGACATTTTTTTTAACATTTTATTAGGGGCTCATACAACTCTTATCACAATCCATACACACATCAATTGTGTAAAGCACATTTGTACATCATTCTCAACACATTTTCTCTCCACCCAAACCCCCGACATTAGGTCCTCATTTTCCCTTCCCTCCCCGCTCCTTAAGGCGTCTTTTGTAAAGTTGCCATGTTCAACTCTTTTGCCATTTTTGTAATGAAATTTTCTTTTCTTTACTTATCTCTAAGGTGTTTATGTATTCTGGATAGTAATCCTTTATGACTAAATAAGTGTCACAAATATTTCCTTCTGAATTTGAGGTTGATCTTACTGCTTTTTAAAAACATATAAATTCATAAATTTAATACCGGTAAACAAGTCAGTCATTTCCTTTGTGGCTGTACTTTCTGTGCCGTGTGTCTTGCTCTCAGGACCTAATGATGGGCTCCTGTGCATGAGTAGTGGCTTCTCAGAAGTCAATATAACGGGGCCCCTAAAGTCTCTATAACTTGGGGAGTTTTTCAATCTTGCCTTCTACTTTTTAAAATCTTGTCATTGGTTTTTATGTATAGTTCATTCTGAATTTCGACCCGCTAGCCAGTTATCCCTTCGGTTGGGTACGGGATGAAGTGGGGTCAGCTGTATTTTCTCTCGGGCCTCATCCAGCCACACTTACTTAGACTTTGCCCTACCTTCAGTGCTTCGAAGTGTCATCAGTATCTGTGTCAAGTATCGATGTTTATTAGTCTCTGTTCTCTTCCAGGGATCTATTTGTTTCTCTTCCAGCCGACATCATGCTGTCTTAATTCGTGTACTTGACAGAGCAATTCCTCGTACCTTGTTCTTGCCCAAGGACTATTACCTGCCCTTCCCCTATCTGTATACATCTTAGATTTAAATATCGATTTATCATGGCTTGTCCCTTTCAAAACCAACATAAATCTATAGATCTGTTGAAAGAGAACTGACATCTTTATAATTTTGACTTTCTTTATTCTTGAATAAAGAATATTTACTTTAATTTACTTTGGTCTTTTAAATATCTTAGTATTAAATTTTGTGATGATCTGTATATCTTTTCATGTGTTAAGTATTTGATGCCATTTTGCTTTTGTACTTAGTGTCTTTTAAAATTCTTTTTGCTGTTTCTTGTATACAGGTGAGTCTTATGCATGAATTTTGATTGCAGCATTGCCAGATTTATGTGCTCTAATTAATAATCTCTGTAAAATCGTTTTCTTGGCTTTCACTTATGATGAGTAGAACCTCCTACTGGACTAAATGGGATGAGCAATCGAGGGCACCGTTCTCTTGTTCTTGATCTAAAAGGAAATGCTCTAACCACTGAGTCTATTTGCTACGGGGTTTTTGTTAAGGGAGGTCCCCATGACTTGTGGTTAGGCTAACAGTTTTGGTTTTTTTTGTTTTTTTTAACATTTTATTAGGGGCTCATACAACTGTTATCCCAATCCATACACACATCAATTGTGTAAAGCGCATTTGTACATCGTTTCTCAAAACATTTTCTCTCCATTTAAACCCCCGACATTAGGTCCTCATTTTTCCCCTCCCTCCCCGCTCCCCTCTCCCTCATGAGCCCTTGATAGTTTACAAATGGGTATTTTGTCATATCTTGCCCTGTCCGACTTCTCCCTTCATCCACTTTTCGGTTGTCCGTCCCCCAGGGAGGAGGCCACACACAGTTCCATGCAATTGGTTCCATCTTTCCTACCCACTCTCCCTCCACCCTCCCTGTTTTGCCACTCACACCACTGGTCCTATAGGGCTCATCCATCCTGGATTCCCTGTATTTTCAGTTCCTATTTGTACCAGTGTACCTCCTCTGGTCTAGCCAGTCTTGCAAGATAGAATTCGAGTCATGGTAGTGGGAGCGGGGAGGAAACCTTTAGGAACTAGAGGAAGGTTGTATTTCTCATCATTGTTACATCGCACCGTGACTGGCTCATCTCCTCCCCGAGACCCCTCTGCAAGGGGATCTCCAGTGGCCTACTAATGGGCTTTGGATCTCCACTCCGCACTCCCCCCATCATTCACTATGGTAAGATTTTTTGTTCTGATGATGCCTTACACCTGATCCCTTCGACACCTCGTGGTTGCATAGGCTGGTGTGCTTCTTCCATGTGGGCTTTGTTGCTTCTGAGCTTGATGGCCGCTTGATTACCTTCAAGCCTTTAAGACCCCAGACGCTATACTTTTTGATAGGCTAACAGTTTTTATCCTAACAAGTTTTTTAACTTTATCATACTTTTCCTATGTCTTTTCTGATCTTTGAATATTGTGTAGCATTTATTGATTTTCTACCGTTAAGTCCACCTTTCATTTATTCCGTTGATTTTAATCAACTAGATGATGGAATGTATAACATAGGGTTGAACAATTTTCTATTATTTACAAGTTACATAACTATTTGCATAAGTGACATTGTATAATAATTTGTCTTACACTTTCTTTTAGATGTTGACATCTCAGCTTTGGAAATTGAAAGTTGTTTCTTAAGAACTGCTGCGTCTTCCCGTGGGCTTTAGAATAACTTTTAAATATCCTCTGAAATAATTGTTACAATGGGATTATTTGTCCCTAAGATATTTAGTAGATTTTGCATGCTTATGTTTTTGTTTTGTTTTGAGTCTGTTTTGTTATATTAATTTATCTAGAAATGTATAATTTCAGCAATGTATTAAATTGTACATAATATCCTTTCTGCCTCTTTTAATCACTTCTGTATTTGAGGTTATGTTTCATTTGTAATTTCTAGTAGGAAATGTTTAGAGCCTTCTCTCATTTAATCTTACTAAAGCTAGCCCCCCCCCATTTTTTTTATAAAAGTGGGTACCACCTCCTACGAACCAAGTTTTGCATTTTTTTTGCATCTATCATATTCTTAAATTTCCTAATTTTCTCTCTAGTACTCTCCTGTTCTTTTTAAGTTGTTTAGGTGTATAATATTAGCTCTTTTTTTGGTAACAAGCACTTAAGCTTATGCATTTTTCTCTAATTATCACCTCAGCTGTTTTCCACAAATGTTGATATATATAGGCTGGTTGGTTTTCATAGCCTTTCTTCAGTTATCTACTGGAGTCCTGATACTTTAAAAAAAAAATTTGCATAAATCATAGAAAAGGTTGTTACCAGGACATTTTAGCTTAAGAACCATTTGAACACATATAATAAGCAAAGCATTGTGACACTGGTGTTGCGTATATGAGTCTTCTTAAATCCCTTAAAGAGCTTGTAGTCTATGGGCAAGATGTGAAAAGCAGGCTTTGGGCTTGATGTTAAAAAAATAATTTGCAGTGAGATGAAAACTGTAAGTAAATGTTTATTAGGTTCTAAAGAAACTCCAAAGTTGATCATTTGTTTATTATCTTAAACCAAAAGACTAAACTTAAAGTTCACTGAAACCCAATGCCTTCCTCAGGGTGACTGTATATGAATATATAGCACTCATTGCTTGGCACTAAACCTTCAGACTAGGCCAGAAGAAATCTTCTGATAACATGTTGTTCTTCCTAGATGTGAAGATGCCTTAAGAAAAAATAAGAGTTTGATTGGGCCTGATCAAAAGGAATATCAAAGGGAACTGGAGAGAAACTACCATCGCCTTAAAGAGGCCCTGCAGCCTCTGATAAACAGAAAGATCCCTCAGTTATACAAGACAGTATTGCCTATCACCTGCCACAGGTAGACTTACTTTCTATTATTTTAGCCAGTCTTTAACATTTCTTGTAACTTCTCCACTCTTTTGTGAATTCAGATACTGTGTCCTTAAATAAGTGCAACTACTAAAAGCATTGATTGGTCTACAAGATAAAAGTTAGTATTTGAGAATCATAAAGTTGCATGAGCACTACAGTAACAGGATGGCACACAAAGTAAACATAGCCCCTAAAACGTGCCGTGCATTGTAGCTGGTCTGTTGGACTGCAAGCCCACCAGCAGCTCTGAGGGAGAGAGGTGAGGCTCCCGTGCTTCCCGTAAAGGCTGACAGGCTCAGAAGCCCCGTGGAGCAGTTCTGCTGTGTCCTTACAGGGTCACCCCCGTGTCGCAAGTGACATGATGGCGCTGCTTTGTTTTGTCTTTGCGATTTCTTTCTTTTCTATGTCTAAAACCATTTGTTTTAAGCTGCGGTCATGCTTTGTGGTACTAGAATGTATCAGGCACCATGATAGTAGTATGCAGGATGTTCTTCTAGATTTGTATTAAAGCAGACAACTGTAGTATCGAGAAGGCATTGATGTTTTATGGTAAAGCGAATCAGAAATTCAAATAACTTGGAATTTTCTACAGCTTGAAATTTTCTCCACTACTACAACTAAAATCTATTCTACTTTAGCAAGTAATTTAATGCTTAGATTTTTCCTCTCATAATGAGATGGTGATAGTATTTACCATGAAGAGTTGTTGTAAAGTTTAAATGTCATTACAGATGTAAAGTTTCTAGGAAAAGGGTATAACATTTTGATTTTTAGCATCTGAAGTCTGGAAAAGGTAAGAGACTTGGTAAAAGTCACCCAATGTTCCCCTCGGCATTTTCAAACCTAGTGTTTTTTGTACACACACTGATTGAATTAATGTGGCACCTTTTTTCTTTGAATTAATAGTAGTAAAGCTATAAAGTTAGAATTATCTGATGACTTAGTATTTGTAAAGTCTTTGAAGTTGCTTATATGAAAACAAAGTTGATGCATGGTATCCTATACTGCAAGGCAAAATGAAATGTCACCTGGCAATTAGTCACTGCTCCTTGATAAGCCAACTCTCAGTGCCGACTCACTGTGAATCTACAGGACAGGTAGAAGTGCCCCTGTGATTTTTCTAGACTGTAACTCTTTACAGGAACATAAAGCTTAGTCTTTCTCCAGTGAAGCAGCTGGTGGTTTTGAACTGTTTACCTTGTAGTTCACCGCCCAGTGCATAACGACTATGCCACCAGGACATCTTAGACCTCTGATAAACTCATTTATTGATATTTATTCAAAAACGTTTACTTGAAGTTCCTGCTGTACGTCAGCTCTGTGATAGATACTGAGGATTAGTGTGAAGGGACATGAGAGACAACATCTCGGCGGTCCACAGGCTGAGTCTAGAGGAGAGAAGCCAGCAATTATGTAAGCACTCTGCTGATAAGAGTGCATGGTACTAATGTAACTTGTAGGAAGGGCCACTTAAATCCTTGTCCTGGGAATTCTGTGGTGCAGTTCTACTGTCCTACAGGGCCTGCTATTAGTCAGATTCAACTTGGTGGCCGTAGATTTTGGTCTGGGGCACCAAGTCAGTCTCCTGGGAGGAAATGCAAATGGATACCTGAGAGAGATCTCAGGGTAGAGATGGGGAGGCAGGAGGAGCACAGGGACTGGACTGCATCCCAGCTCATGGTAGAAGAAAAAAGAAAGAAAGAAAACCCAACCATAAATTTGAATTGCTTTACATACTATTATCCCCCTAAATTAAACCAGTTACATATATTGATTATGGTAGTGCTTATCAAACACTTGTGAGTCAGAAAATGAGCAGAATTTAGGAAGTTCAGTTGAAATATAGAATTTAAACTCAGAGATGTTCTCATGATCGTCCATACCACATTGAGAGGGTACTAGGATTTAAATTCGACAGTAACCATCACAGTGAGACTGGTTCCAGTTCAGATGTTTTGTAGCGACTGTGATTCTCACCAAGTCTGTATCCTTTCCCTGCTGCATTTGAATGCAGGGGAACTCGAGTTTGGGGTAGGAAGGGAAGGTGGGTCAGTAATGGGTGCTAACTATCTGCTCCTTCTCATCACGCCAAGTTCTCGGGAAGTTAAATTTGGCTTCTAAGCAATGTTTCTTGCTACTTATCAAGATGGTTCCAGCGGCATGTTCCCTAAGAGCAGATAGATTATCTGGATCCCTTCTATAATTTATAAGGCCAGAGACCAAGGAGCCCGTCTAATTGTATTAGACTCATTCGCACCCCAAACATACTTGGTTTTTACCAGCCTTCACTTCATCGTACGTCCTTTGGACATGCTGTCAGAAACCGGTCCCTAGAGAAGAACATTGTTTGATAAAGTTGAGGGTATGAAAAGAGAGGAAAGCTCTCAAGGAAATGGATTGGCACAGTGGCTGCAACAATGGACTCACGCATAGGCACTATTGTAAAGGGGGCGCAGGACAGGCGGTGTTCCATTCTGTTACGCATAAGGCCACTATGGGTCAGAATCTACCTGACGGCAACTAACAACCCAAACCGACTGGACATACCGGTCACAAAGCGGTTTCCTCTCAAAATTCCCAATGGGGTATAACATTCCAGTCTAGTCCTCTCCACTTTTCCCTCCTCGGTCTTTTTGGAATATTTTTCTTCTTGCTGTTTCCACACCCTTCCCCTCACTAGGTCAAAGATTCTAGACAGTGGTGATGAGGTAGTCATCAGACTGTTCCAATCTGAGCCTCACTTTCTCCAGTTAGCCCCAGCATCTTTCATGGACATAAAGGAACTATTCTTCTTACATAAAGGAAATATTCCCTCATTGCTATAATTCTTTATGATACTCCTCCAATTGAGTTGATATTTGTAGTCCCTTTTTCTTGGAATTTAGAATCCTTTTATTGCTTAATGCTTGCCTTTCAATTTCAAGACTACTGTTTTCCCTAGAACCAAAAAAAGCAAGCTTTGAGATTCAAAATTGAACATGATCTCTTTGAGACTGCCCTTCATTTCCTTCATGGAGATTGAAAGCCTTGTTGCTTAACCTTAATAGCAGGATGAGAAGCAAAAAACCAACTTTAATTTAATTTTTTATCTGTAGCATAGTTCCCACCTACCTTTTCTACTTCTGGAGTTTGGTGGAGAAGTGATACACAGATACACCAGCATCTTGCCATCTGGTGGGGAACCTGTATGATTGTGAGTGAAGAAGCAGGCCACAGCTAACCAACCTCAGCACAAGAGATCCAGTGGGACATGATGTCTCACGATATCAAAAGCAATGATCTCCTTTTTTTTTTTTCATTCCAACCCATTAAAACACATGGTTCCAGCCAAAAAGTCAAAGCAGAAATGGAAATAATTCTGTTTTGAAAGAGTTAAAGGAAAATACATTAGGAGGTACAAGAGAGCTTCAAAAATTCCATGGCACAGTTCCATGATCTTTTCTCTTAATTTTCCACAGACCTTTTGAAGACTTAATTTTAAAATTTCCCCTTCACCTTTAACTTCTTCAGATTTGAAAATGAAAACTCCTTAAAGTTCTTTTATTTTGCTGATGTACCAAACCTAGATGTTTACACAGTGGACTTCTAGTAAGACAGAGGTTTCTTCTCAAAGTGTGGTCTGGGACCCTGGGGTCTAATTTCATATTAACACCGAGATACAGTACTAGTGTAACCTTTTCACTCATTCTCACCTGACGGAACAGTGAAGTTTTTCAGAGGTGCTACTGCAGATTGGGTGCATCTGATAACAGAATTTAAATCTTCTGTGAAATATGCAGAAGTGCCACTCAAAATTTTTCAAGTTATTTAAGTGTTATAGAGGTAATATGTGTAGTTATTTACAATTAATATTTAAAATGGATATATTTAAAGTTTTAATGTCTAGTGACAAAGAGCAATCTATAGCCACCGACATAACAAAAGCTTACTGGGATCCTCGGCTTCTAAATGTGTAAAAAGGATCCAAGGCCAAAGTTGTGGACCATTGTTTAAGACTTAGAATTTAATATTTGCAGCTACATTTTCCTTGTATGTTGTTAGGACCTGTTGAGTCATTTCTGATGCTTAGTGACCCAGAAAATCCGAACAAAGGTTGGCCTGGTCTTATACCATCACTCTCAATTATTAAGTTGTTTGAACCCAATTGCAGCCAGTAGCTACTCACTCCGTCTTGCTGAGCCCTCTTTTGCCTGACCCTTTATTTCTCTCAGCACTGGCCCCTTCTCTCGGTTCCCTCCTGATGAGATGACTACAGTACATGACACAACATTCTTGCTGTCAAGGAGCATTCTGGCTCTACTTCTTTCCAAGACAGATTTATTTGTTCTTCTGAAAGTTTGATAGTATTTTACAGCTACATTTTCCTTGTATGGTGTTAGGACCTGTTGAGTCATTTCTGATGCATAGTGACCCAACAGTTCAAATGTATCGATTCTTCTTGGCCTTTCTTATTCATTGTCCTATTTTACCACATGTAAGGAGCAATTGAATATATACCATGGCTTGGGTCAGGTGCACCTTAGACCTCAAAGTAAATTTTTCTTAAAATATTTTCAATGATCTGCCTTACTGCTAGATGTGAAGTTCTTATTAAACAAATGAACTTTTACAAAATATTTACCGTAGTACTTTGGAAATGCTCCTCAGTCTAAAAGGCAGGTTATATAACCCAGATAATGTAGCACGAACATCCCATTAACTTTAAAGTTAATGGAAACTGGTGGCAAAATGGCAATTTGTTGGAGACAACCGTATGAAATATTTTAAGTGGTTGTAAAAATTGTTTACTTATTATCACATCCTCTCATTCTCTCCCCAGAGATTCCTTCAGTCGAATGAGCCTTCGCAAAATGGATCTCTAAAATGAAAGCACTTGTTTTATTAATTTGAAAAGAGCCACGTATTCCAACTTTTAGGTGTGAAAAGTTAAGATCTATTGAAAAATAAGACTTAAGGCGTAATTCTGGAAATTATTGCATTAACTTATTCACTGAAGAATGCAGTGGCCAAATGATCATCCGATGTGGACTGTTGAAGATTGAGAATTATGGCTATGGTTTCAAACGTTCTGGTAATATGCCGTTATCCTTTTTAAAGACATTTTAATGACGCGAAGGTACATTATACATTTACCATTATTTATAGCATAGCTAATGTTAAAATGATTTAATTTTAAGTTCATATTTTTAATTTATATTAACATTTATAGATTCATTTTGCAAACACTTTAAATGTAGTAATGCTTATTTTAAAGGTACTATTAAATATGTGAATGTTTACACTAATTATACTGAGTGGGACTTATTAAAGTTTTTCCTTATTGAAAGAGGCAAAAAATAAGTTGATTCAGAAATGAATTCCAAAACTAACAAAATGAAAATCCAGTTACTTTATGGGTCCAAAGATGAAGTTATTATAACTAGTTTGTAGAGACTAGTTATCCAATGCTGACTTTTAAATTCTTTTCCATTTAAGATCTCAAAAAGGATAATTAAGAACTTGTAGAAATAACTATTTGATAACTCTTTTGTCCATAAATAGCAAATATTGGAATAGCTACTACCAGTGACAGCACCACTGTCAACCTTACTATGCCAGAACATCACGATTCTCAGCAACCAATTCCTGTGTTTCAAATGAAACAAGCCAGCTGTCAGTTGTTAATGATCTAAACCCGTTCAGTAGAGAGCGGTCACTTAAAGGAGAGCTGGAGATTGATTGTTCGCTGATATAATCCATCCATTGAGTGCAAAGTTACTTCTGGGCAAGTGTACTTTTACAATGATCACAGGAAAGTGAACTTACCTATTTTAATAGCAACTAAGAACCAATTCATTTAAAATGTTACTAGAAGATGTAGTATAAAGAATTCCTGGCAGTTTTTTTAATAGGCTTTTCCTTATAGCAAGGCTTAAGGAGTAGTGCCATCATTTATAGTCTATCCCTCCCTTTGATCTGACAAATGTTATACAGTGCCTTCATTGTACAGTTGTAGAGAACAAATTTCAAAAATGTCTAGTTCTCCTGAGAGCAGATGGTGACTGATAACACACCTCTAACCTAGTATTACTATGGGTAATATGATCTTGAACCCTTATCTAGAGCAATTGAGAATCACAAAAGGGTTATGTACCATTAAGCCAAAAGGGAATAAAGTGCCACTAGTGACGGTAAATGTACCCACGGGTAAGAACCATGACTTTCTAATCATCCTCACGCCATCTTGTCACCTGTAACTTATTAGTTGACAAAGTTCTTTATTTATTGACCTAAAATATAACTATATTATCCCAACAGCATTTAAACATTTTCAAATAATTGTAAAGGATTATTTTTAGTTCCAAGAATGTTGTCATAATTTTTTATTTACCTTTAGTATATTTTAATGAAAATGTACCCAGGTTTTTATGTGCACAAAGTATCAATTTAAAATTGCTAAAACATGACAATTTTTATTGTAAGATGCTCTTAAGGTTGACAGCTTGAGATGAACTAAGCACAGTTGTACTTGAAAAATTCCTCACCTCCACTTTCAGAAAATAATGAGTATTCCTAAAGGTAATTCTGCATGATTATCTTCTGTCCGTGTGTATGTGTGCATATAGGTGTACACGATACATAGCTTTCTAGACATACATGCACATATGTACACATCCTATTCTTTACAGGACCCAGCTCTGGTAGAAATATGCAGTATAGTATAAAAGAGTAGTGCGTTTGTGTAGTTAAGCAGTTTTAATTTTATTGACCTCCCAGTTTTTTTAAAAAGTTAAAATTTCAGGTCATACCTCTAAATTTGATGTACTATATACAGATCGTGCAGAATGACTTAAGAGATACAAATTAGTCCATACTTGAAAAGATTTTACTGGAGTACAGAATCATCTTCAGAAATACTTATAAAATCCTTTTGAAGATATAGTCAAGGACTATCCAGGTTTCTGAGACAATTTTCAAAGTGATTCAAGGCACAAAATTAACACCATCGTAGATACATATTGTAGACTCTGTGCCTTTTATAAAGTTCATTAAAGATTTGGCATCACAATATTATAAAACTAAATGTACTGAATGAGATTCTGCCTCCTAGCCGGAAAACCACAGGACCTATAAACGTGTAATTACTCCAAAATGTGGAGAATACAAATACAAGCACTTTATTTTTAAAAGCAAACACAAAAGGTAGGTTTTTAAATGCTTCCATTTTGGATAATTCATTTGGAACTTACACAAGATTGTTCCCAAAAGTTAATGCATCACTAGTCTCTAGTAAAGAAATTGAATGCTAAAAATGTACATGGTTTTCAGTAATTCAAATTTTACTATATAAAACCTAGAGACCAATAATATCCAGTAGCTTCAAAAGATAAGCCAAGCTTCTTGATGAAAATAACATTAACAATGTTTGTCCAGGTCTGTTTAATATATATATATATATATATATATACACACAAGGGAAAAAACATTTGCTCTACAATTTCTTATAAAACAACAAGTAAGGAGTAGATGTGGGAGATGTAGATGGGGAAAGAGAATTCAGAAAGTCTTTCTCTTCAGTAACTTTCACTTCGGAATCGTCAAAAAGCAACCATTTCCCCTCATATTCTTTTAAGCTTTGTACTACATATGAAATTTTATTCTCAAATCCACTAATGTTAATGCCTGTTTGGTCATTGGATTCCTTGTTGCTATCAGATTCATGGGTCCCATTAGTATTATTAGTCTCAGAATTTCTACTTTCAGCAAATGCTGTACCAGCAACAACCTTATCAGGATTCGATGTTTTGTTGTATAATTCATAATCTGCTTTGCTCTTTTGTCCTCCAAGAAGTCCAATAGCTTCTACATTTTTTTTGTTTAAAACTTTACTTGACTGTGTGTTTCCACTGACTCTAATAGATACTTCTTCATCGTCATAATTTTCAACCACACTTTTTGCTTCCTCTTCATTTAATGGTTCTGGCTTACTTATCTCACACATTTGGTCTACCATAAAATTTCCCTTATCTAGTTCTAAACTATTAAGGTCAGTGACTTTAACAGAAGCGGTGTAATGCCCACTGCTAATTGTAATGCCACTATGCATCACAACTGCAAATAATCCATAGTTGTCGTTGGTTGGCTTTGTGCTCCATTCTTCCAGTGACAGTTTAAGGGGTGTCAACAAAGGCGTGTTGATCTTGGAAAGTCCACCCCCGTAACAATCAAACCTTTGGGAAGGAAAAAAACACACGTTGTTTGTGGTTCCAAATATACATATATCTAAAGTGTTATACCCCAATATAAAAAGTCTAAATGAACGCTTAATAATTTTCAATGACCTTGATAAATTATAGTAAGAAAAAAAGCATCAACTATGTGTAACACTTATTTTGCATAGAGAAAATAGGTTGAAGTACTCCTAGTATTCAGGCATTTCTGTGGATAGCTTGTGGCATTTCCCTCCCTTCATTACTTTATACAAGGAAATAACAGATGACATTTGAAAAAAACATTGGACTTCAAAATAACTCCTACACATTTTAATGTCATGTAAGGCTTTTTCCATCAAGACTTGGGGACAAAAATTATCATCAAAAAAGACTACATGCCATCTTTTGCACAATAAAGATGGAATTATCAGGGAAACCTCATAGTAATTTCAAGGAGCCCTGGTGGCATAGTGGTTGTATGATGTTCCAAAAGGTCAGCAGTTCAGAACCACTAGCCAGCCTCTCCTCGGGAGAAAGACAGCTTTCTACTCCCATAAAAAGTTAGTCTCCAGCTGATGCCAGGGGCTTAAGTGGAGAACAGAGGTTTTGAGGATGAGGGCAATGAATGTACACATGTGCTTCTCACAATTGATGTATGTAGGGATTGTGATAAGAGTTGTATGAGTGAGCCCCTAATAAAACGATTAAAAAAGAAAAAAGTTCGTATCTGAAACTCTGAGGCCATCCAGCCTGTCCTACAGGGTCACTGTCGGTCAGCTTCAACCCGATGGCGACTGAGTTTGGGCTTCTGAATGCCAAAAGGTTGGCAGTGTGAACCAACCCAGCCATACCAGAACACCTGGTGATGTCCTATGCATTAACAGCCTAAAAAATCTACTACTCTATCACACAGGGCCACTGAGTCAAAATCAATTTAATGGCACCCAGCAACACCACAGTAACTTCAAACAAGAAAATGAGCATTTTAACCCTTATTTAAAATTTTTTAATTCCCACATATAGATGGGAGATTGCAAACACTGTTTGACACAACTTTGATTTTCTAGTTTACCTTCAAATTAATTTTAAAAATCTTTGCCTTTTCCACCTAAAAATTGCTTATGCACAAATGTTTCCTGCTTTCATCCGTTTTTCTAAAATGTAATTCTGGTAGTCTCAAATAAAACCAGTAAGTCAAACGGAACAAACACGCTTTAAAAGCGCCAAACAAAAAGCCTCTCACAGCTGATAGGATATATGTTCATATTCAAAGGGTTTAATGGATTCATTTTAAAAGGGACATTCTTAATGAGAACAAAACTTTTCGAAGGCCATCTTTAGAAAGTACTTAATTGTAGTATTTTATATACTTTAAAAAAAAAATGTCTTATATAGCATCAACTCATTTTCTTCACATAGCTTTTATTTATAATACTTACTCCAAGCCACTCGCTGCAAAACACTTCAAGTGAATAGTTATAACTTCAGGCATTTTGTCAAACAAAAGACTTCGTTCAGCTTCAGTATAATGATGGCAATTCTCACAGAAATATTTATCTTCTCCAACAATCCTCTCCACTGAGGCAAACTGTGAAATTGCCCATCTCAGGGTCTTCATTTCTGTTTTTGGCTCTGGAGAAACTACAAAAGAGAATCTTATCAGTCAAAAATAAATCTCTCAGATATTAAAAATAAACTACAAAATTATATGCTTAAAATGAGCATGTTTCAACTGACTAAACCGCTTGTAAATAGTTTTAAAACTCCTATCATAAGCTTATTCTCAATAGTGCACATAAGCTTTTAAATAACAAAAAAGCAAACAATTATTTATGTGCTGTGGACAGGTAGAAACAATATAAACTTGGTCTTTGTCTTAGTATATGACCTGACCTAATTTAAGTTGTACTTAATAGTCAACTTTTAATATCTCAATAAGTAAACTTCTCTCATTACGTCTCATGACATTTGTATATATTTTGTGATTCAGACTAGATAAAACAGTGGCTCAGGTATCCACTGTGATAAATATAGAAGGAAATCTAGGAAAAAATTTTGCTCATCATGCATAGGAGGTAACCTCCCACCCCCCCACCCCACCCACCCCTCTCCCCAATGGACCCAATGGCAACTAGCAGACACCACCAGAAAAGTAAACAAGGAAATCAAAGCCATTTACTAAATCAAGGGACAAAAACTGAAGATAAAACATAACCATAAAGAAAAAAATTAAAATAACCAGTAAATAATTCAGGTCTTTAAAAGTAAATGTAAAGCTGTTCACTTTTCTACTCTAAAACCCTGCTTTCAAAATGAAGATTCCCTAAGAAATGTTACATTAAGCCAGAGACATTAAAAGTCAAAGAGCTTTTTCTCCCAAATTACACAAGATATTAGGTTATTTAAGGAAAATTCCATACCATGTTCCATACAAGACTAATTTTGCTTACTTTCAGAACTCTCCTCTGCTTTCGAAAGCTCATCTTCTTGCACTGGCACACTGATGTCCTGAAAGTTTTCTCTTCTTTCTGTTAAACTTTCACATTCCAAACAACGAGTCCTCAATACCAGCTGACCTTGAAATAATTTCTCCACAAGTTCAAAACCAATTTGCTCCACACCTGAAAAGAATATAAGGGAAATATGTATCTATATAGGTAAAAATTTCAGCATCTACAGCATTACTATATTTAAACAAAGCAGTATCGTGAATAAATCCCCACTTATGGCAACCCCATGCACAACAGAACAAAGTACTACCCAGACCAGCACCAATCCTGTTCAGTAAGATTGGATTATTGGGATCAATGGTGTTTTCCTGGATGAAATTTTAGTTCGATTACCAGGCCAGGCCCTTCTTCCTGGACTATCTAGGTTTGGAAGCTCTGCTGAAACCTGTTCAGCATTACAGCAACACATACCACTGAGAGATGGGTGGTGGCTGTGTTTGCACATGAGGTGCACTAGCTAGTAAATGAACTGGGATCTATAGCACAGAAGTCTAAAAATTCTCCCAGAACTCTGACAGCAACTGGTTATCCTGAGAATGGGGAGCCTCTGGCTAGTACCAAGGATCAAAACATTCAGCTGCTAACCAAAAGTCCACCTCGAAGTTCCTTCAGAAAAACAACCCAGAGATTTATTTCCAAAACATCAGCCATTGAATGCTCTACTATGGGGTTATAAGTCGGAATGAACACTATCTCAAGTTTTATTACACCATTAGGAAGTGTTATTCATGGAAGTTAAATTCTCAATTTTGAATATGAATTCTTATTTTCTCTAAAACAGAATCACAACTGTCTTTTCATAACCCCTTTTATAAATATAGTCCCTGTAAAATTTTACTGTTTTTGATAAAACTATTCACTACATTAATTAGCACTAGTTTCCCTGAGATCTAGAGTATGTATGGTCAAAACTAGATTATAGTTCAAGTAAGGTCTAACTTGATTTTAGGTACCACTGAGTCAATTCAGTTTCACAGTGACCCCATGTGTGTAAAACTAGCCCCCCCACCTTCCCTTCACTGTAATCTTTATGAGCAGATCCTTTATCTCCAGGTGCTTTGAACTGCCAACTTCCTGATTAACAACAAAACACATAACTGTTGCACTACGAGGAGTCGCCAAGGTATAACTACGTTCTCTAATAAAATTTTCACTAAATGTTATCATTTTTAACTTTAGTAATGTCAGATGTTGGTCCCACTATCAGGCAAGCCTTATGGGTTTCTAAGTAAAACTGCCTCCATAGAACTTCACTGACGGTGACCTTTTCAAAGTAGTACAAGAGGTCTGCATGCTGCAACCTGTTGGTGTATTCGAAACGCTAAGCTTCAGTTAGGACCTGAGCACTTAACCATTTGCATCACGCAGAGGCCTCTACGGGATAAAATAGTCTTCCCATTAAATGTCTCAATCCCCCTAGTTTACAAACTATTTTCATAAATTGTTCAGATTAGTGAGATTACACATATAAAATGCATCTAAGTTTTAAAATACTATGTAGTCAAACTGTTACATTTCTTTTACAAAGTTTCCCTTTTCAAGTTACATTGTATATGTATTCAAGGAGACAATTCTAATTACACACTGGTAATGCTTCTACATATCAAGGCTATGCACAAATTAATTACCTGCAATTATACTGACCTTTGTTTATGGCTTTATCTTCATTAACATTAATGGGTTCAGTATTATTCTCTGGAGAATCAAGTCCACAACCATTAACCTTTGGAGCGTTACCATTCTCATACTTTTCCCCATCCTCTTCAAGATCATACTCAGTTTCTTTGCACTGTCCCTTTGATCCTTGGTTTGTCGTTAATTTCCCCAGACTACAGAATTTAGAAAGAATACTGGGTTGCTTAGTTACAGACTTTAACCAGTTTATTTTATCTTTTGACTTCTTTTGTGAGGGTCTTGCACTTCCATTTTCACAAGTGTACTTGGGGATTATTTTAGCGGGAATCGTTAACACATCACTTGTAGCTTTCCTTTTTGATCTAGTTTGTCTCTGGTTCTCCTCCAATGACTGGTATTCCTTGGATACTTTTGTTCTTTTCTTCATGTTACCAAATTCACTGTCACTTTTCCTTTTCCCATTTCCTTTTGGGAGTTTTTCTTTATCTTCAGAATGACTCCCATTAACCATCTCTCTGTTATTCCTATCACCTAGTTCCTCTTTCTGATGAGAATTTCCTTCTACCTTAGTAGATAATTCTGCCGCATCTTTCACTTCTTCTTTTTTTAGGAGTTGGCATGTTTCTTGAATGTTTCCCAAAATACACTGTAATACTTCCTGTGCATCATGCTGTAGATATCCTTCATACATAGGGTTGAGTTCCCTGTAAGACAAATTTCCATGTTAGTTTTGACAATAAAACCTTTATATTTATAGCGTATCATAACTTCGTTTTAAAAATTGAAAAACATTCAGTGGCTATTTTGAAACCTCTTACCCAAGCTTGTAATGGAAAACAAATTTTACTCCCTTTACAGTATCTGAAATATCTTGGTCTTTTAACATAATTATAGCTAATACCTATAAATGTACTCTCCACATATAATGCTCACAATAACCCATGAGGCAGACATAATTGTCACCACCACTTACTCTAAGGGCCCTGAGGCAGACAGGACAAATGGCATGCAAAAGGTGGCAGCAAGTTTTGCATAGCCAGCACACAAACCTCATCTTTTACCAGCCATGCTAATCTGCCTCCTATTGAAGGGAATAAAAACTGATTGCACCTAGGTCTACTCAATTGCTTTCTTAAAATATAGGTTCATATTTTATAAAAATTACAGTAATGCTAAAAGCAATCTAATTTTTTTCTAGCAGATATAACAGGATATTTGACATTTAATTTTTATGCACAATATTTTAAAGTAATATAGATGCACAGTTCAGAAGTCCAGATTTAGAAATATGGCATTTAAGTAAAATATATACCAACAACAGACTATGGAGTATTGAAACCCTTACTATTACTAACCCCCCAAAAAGTATGAATATTCACATTAGGAATATAGACTATAAATAGCCTTAAAAAAGTCCAATCTCAGGAACTCCAAATGTATGTAACCATTACCAGTTTCTAGAGGTTTGACATATAAAGTCCCGTGGGCCTGTAGCATTTGAGTCCGCCCTTTTTGTTCCTATACCACTCTTTTTTTTTTTATTGGGAGTTCCTACAACTCTATCACAGTCCAAACATCCATCCATTGTGTCAGCACATACCATTCTTTTCAAGGGGTAGAAACAAGTAGCTAAATCGGATTCCTAGTAATCTTATTATAGGCTATACCTGAGTGTGTTAAGCAGTCGCCTTGGCTGAGTAGCAAGCTCCTCAGTGTATTTCTCTGGATTTAAGAGAAAACTAGCCTGAAGTTGTTCAACTGAAATGATTAATGACTGTAAACTGCATATCAGTTCATAACTTGCCAAAGAATCTTCTTTGCAATTTCCCTGTCAAGAAAGTATACAAAACAATCTTCATTCATGAACAAATTCAGTACGTTTCCCCTTTCTTGGCTTTGTCTCTCTAAAGAAAGCTTCTATAAATGTAATTTCAGTACAATACTAATTTTTACAAAGTACATAAACATTTTCTTCACTTTCAGACTTTAAGAAAAAGACTTTTTCATTCACTTTTGTGGAGACACTGTTTCTAGCTACGAAGTCAAAAATACCACATGAAACAGAACGAGTACAGGCGGTTACACAGGCATTAGAGTATGATGGCACCCCACAGCACACACCTGGTGAACAATGCACCACGGACTGGAAGAAACAAAGGCAAAGGAAAAACTAGCTACCTTGTAAGAATGACAAATAATTGCCTTTTTAAACAAAATAACGTAATGAGAAACTAATTCCTCAGTTCACTGAAACGTTATCATTCTCCTCCTCCCAAAACCTGTGTAGAATGTCTTCATTTCTAAACAAGTGAATACCATGAACTTTGTTTTTATATATCTCCTGTATGTCTTTTTTACCTTCTCTTTTTGACTGGCTTCATCTGTTGGAGCTTCTTTCTTCCTTGAAATAATATTAAATAAGTGCTTCACTCCAGATTTAAAACCAGGACAAAAATATAATACCTATAAAAAATGAGGTTGTCTAAGTGTTTAATAAATAGAGAACACACTTAAAATAATCATGCTTTTTGTTAATGTACTTATAAAAAACGTTGCCTTTTTAAAAAAAAACCATTTTATTGGGACATAATCCAGGCATCATACAATTTAATTGTTCTGTAACATACTTTTTATTGGACAACAACCTGCCACAAATTGCTTTACTACTAGACTAGCAACCCACTGTCTTCCATTATTAGTAGCAAAAACTAGGGCAGATATCATTAAGCCTTAAGGTTTCAAGGGTTAAGATACTATCACCGTAGCACCAAAAATCAAGAAGAGAAACTAAAGATTTGGCATCTACTATCTAACCAAGATCCATTGAATGTTGCTGTTCTCCCTATCCCCAACATATCCTCTAAAAGGAGTCTGTGCTGTGCAACTTAGCCCATCCTAATTTATGCACAAGGTAAGGAGCATAGGGACAAAGGACCCAAACCAAACAAATTATCACTGAGTCAATTCCAATTCATAGCAACCTTATAAAAGAAGAGTAGACCTGCCCCATAGGATTTCCAAGCCCATTTTTTATATAAGCAGACTGCCACATCTTTCTCTACTGCTGCTGCTAGTGGGTTCAAACCACTGACCTTACGGTGAGCAGCTGGCCACTATGCCACAATGGTGCCACACCAGCCAACTGTGCCACAACTGAGTGCTTGGCCACTGTAACACCAATGCTTCTCATGGGTAGTTAAAATTCTCTAATCTGAAATTCTAGGAAACATTACAATATTATGTTACTCTAATACAAAAGTTTACTATATAACAAAATTATCTACTTACCTGTAGTATACTATTTAGATAACAAGTATTGCCAAGGTTATTCAACCCCACAAATGGCAGCAAATTCTCTCTCTTCTCACAGTTTATAGGTGAGGTCTGTGCTGCAGGAACAACTTGATCACTATTGAATATGAGGGAGAAGAATATAATGTAGCACCATAAAGAAACAACATGGGAATATTACTTCCCTAGACTTAGTCTTTCCCCAAATGTTTCTTGTTCTGAGAAGTAAATTTTATTCATTACATTGCAAGAGAGGAAATCTGTACAATCTGATAAACTGTTATATAACAAAATGGAGGCTTTTAAAAGCAATTATTATACTCAGCAAGTTTCAAAACAGTTTCATTGAGGTTTAGTCTCATTTCACCAGTACTTAACTAGCTGCATCAAGTTGACCCCAACTTCTAATGTTCTATCAGAGGAGAACTGGTCTGCAGGGTGGGTTTCATTGGCTGAACTTTGTCAAGCAAGTTACCAGGCCTTTCTGCTGAGAATCCCATTTTACAAAGTAGAAAAATAATGAATTGGTACTGCGATTTTTTTTTAAAGTCAATACTATAGGTTAAGCAATCATATTTAAAATTCGAGTCAACCACCAGTAACCACTGAGTCATTCCAGACTCCTGGAGACCCTACGTATATCAGAATAGAACTGTGCACCACACAGGGCTTTCAGTGGCTGTTTTTTCAGAAGTAGTTCACCAGACCTTTCTTCCAAGCTACCTCTGGACAGACTCAAAATTCCAAGCTTTTGAGTAGCAGCCAATTATTGAACTATTCAGGGCACCTAAAATTTTAAGAGAGCTGCAGAAATAACCTGACACATTATCTAAGAAGAAACTATACTACCTAAGAAACCAAATTCTATTACTAATAATTGAGAGGGAGTATATGAGAGAATTACTTATCCATTTCTCAGTTAAATGTGAATTGGTTAAATTTATAATTTTCTTCACTTAATAAACACTAAGTATTCCTGTACTTTATATTTTATTGCTACTACAGCACCTCAGTGTTTACAAGCATGAATGCTTAATTTAAAAAAAAAATGCTTACACACAATCTCCTAACCTGATTATTAGTAGATATTAAGGGATTACACATGGGAGCAAATCCCCTTTAAGTTACCCAAAAGATTACCTAGCATATTTTATTATATCTAGCTTACCGAAATCATGTGTGCATTCTAACATGCAAGGGGGTGCTCATTTGGAAACTAGCATAGCACATGCACAGTACTGCACAAAATGTTCTCAGTAGGAAACCAGTGTAGACTCCAGCTAAAGCAACCATTGGCGACATACAGTATTTTGTTGCGGCTTCTTTAAAGCATTTGTTTCCATCAACGCACCTGCGCTTTATTTCAAATACAATTTGCAGTGTCAGTCCTGCTCATCGAGTATTAATTCCTATATTGGACATGTTTACAAAACTTAAAAATTTCAGATAACTTTCAAGTCATATAATGTTTTACCTTTATGCAAACATGTTACAAAGATCATGTTTAAGTTCTGAGAAATCATTTTTGTTGACAAATAACTTTCTCAGATAGTCTCTAGCTCAGCGGTTCTCAACCCCCTTTGGGGATCGAACGGCCCTTTCACAGGGGTCACCTAGACCATCGGAAAACACATAATTCCGATGGTCTTAGGAACTAAGACACCACTCCTATATCTGTCTCCAGGAGGGTCCGCCCACACGCAGATACACCCACATACGAGTACCTGGCGTGAAGACTGTTACCCATGCTACACCATGCTTCAAGACAAAATCTCATGTATTTGTAATTAGAAATAAGTATTTCACAATATAGAATTACATATTGTTTTCGTGATTAATCACTATGCTTTCATTGTGTTCAGTTTGTAACCATGAAAATACATCCTTCATATCAGATATTTTCACCATGATTCATGGCTAGCAAAATGACAGTGATGAAGGAGCACGAAAACAACAATGGCTGGGCGTCCCCACCACATGAGGACTGCACTGAAGGGCCGCAGCACTAGCAAGGGTGAGAACCACCTCTCTGGTTAAACAGTGAAACTGAGTGAACACTACAGAAGTTATCTCTGTAGAAACCACCCGGGTTCTCTCCCTACTCTCCACTGCAAGACTTGTCTTACTACGGACACTTTCTTTTTGCTTCTACAGAGGTTAGAATGTCTAGACACGTCAACCGAAGTTCACGGCTTCTTTACTAATTAAAAAATGTACAAAATAGACTTAAAATGGGATACATACATTTCAGATCCACTATATTCTGAAACTTTATCTTCGTTTTCTTGAGACTCTGTGAAATCCAAGGCTCGCTTAGTTTCCTTTTTTTGAAAAAACTTCAAGGAAAGTCTGTTTTTCTTTGGACTACTTCTTGAAAGCCCATTATTTTCACTAGGTATAACACCAGGCATTTTCTCTTCAAATTCCAAGGAGTTTATAATTGATTTAAGAAGCAAGTGGTTATCACCAACTATATCTGTTAATCAGAGAAAAGTTTATTAGTTTTCAGTTACCCATTTTAAGAAACAAAACAATTCTGAAAGCAAATTTATTACAGGAATGGTACTAATTTGAACTTCATATTGAAAAACTACTGAGTGGCAACAATAAACCCAAATACTCTGCCATCAAGTTCATTCTACGCATACTGACACTTTCAGGCCAAGGAAAACTGCTCCCTAGAGTTTCCGGGGCTATAATCTTTGCAGTTACATAAAGTTTCATCTTCCTTCTGAGGAGCAGTTGGTGGGTTTGAACTGCCGGCCTTGGGGTTAGCAGCCCAATGCATAACCACTCCAAGACTCCTTGCGGCAATAAACCAAAACCAAACCCAATGTCATCAAGTCAACTCTGACAATTGGCATTCAAGATTTGCTACCTAAATGAAGAAGCTTATCACAGTATCCTTGACATTCTTAAATAAAAGCACCACACCCTAAACTTGAATATGCCTGTCTGCAAGGTAAAGTAGTATTAAGGAGTAAAAACCGAATTTTTCATCATTATCCTATCAGTAATTCAAAATATTGATTGCACAACTACCACCTGTAGCTCTAATAAGTAGGTCATGGAGATGAGTGACTAGGACGTCAACGTTGAGGGGGTTCAAGTATTTGTGAAGCAATTCCCTCTTAATCCCATTTCCCCCAGGAACTTTCTGAAGCTCTGCTGGCCACAAATGCATCGACCCTTCCAAGACCTTTACTAGTTATTAAATGTGAAGATACAAAATAAGATCTATAAAAAGCTTGTTTAAATTATAATCTACATGTAAGAAAAGGAATAGATTTGTGTTGAGTTACATCTAAAACCGTGAGAGAAAGGCAATAAAGCAAGCAGAATTTTCTTTAAATTGCTTTGAGCAGGGAAATATATTTGATTTGCCTTCTACAACCATTTCCACCCCGTTTAAAGTAAAGCTTCTGGATGAGCTAACAATACCATTGCAGGAAATAAACATTAGTCCTGACATTCATTATGACATCTACAAAATAAGAGATCTAAATGGAGTATTACTGGAAAATTACTTAGACCCCAATACCTCTGTAAGATGCACACACACAAAAATCAAATTCCATCTTCCATACACTAATGCTGATCTGGGAATTCACAACCCAGAATTCACCCTCCGCAGTGAAAGTACATTTTGAAGACAAACTCGGGAAGATTGGGAAAGTTGATCAATTTCCTCATCCTGCCTCTAACTCAATTTGGAAATGTCTATGATTATTTTAAAGCTGCACCACACTGCCAGGGAGCGCTAAGAATTGAGGATTCTCTGTAAAGGTGGTTGTCAGTGCCGATTCTAACTAGTAGACACTTCATTTGCTAAGTGACAAGAGGACCCTGACTATAAAACAATGATCAAGCAGCTAAAATTAGAGATCGCCATCCTAATCAAACCCCAAGCCTCTCTCAAAGCCATTATCGAATAGTTAGGATGACCGTGAGCCTGACACTTTACTAGGTGCCGCATAATAAGCCGCGGGTGCTATAGTATGCGGCGGCGGCGAGGGGCCAGGCGGCGTTGCTTCCTGTTGGGGATGGGGTCGCTGAGTCGAAACCGACTTGACAGCCCCTAACCACCACCACCATCTCTTGCTCCCGGGGGCTTTCCTTAAAACGGGGTTGTAACATCGAAAGTTCCACCCTAACACTGCAAATCACCTTTTGCAGAAAACAATGAATCAAACCCAAAGGCAGTGTGGCCACTCAGCCCCAGTAAATTAAAAGTTCTTTCCTTCAGCAGATGACACATGTCACCAACTTGTTTTTCCGGAGAACTAAACGGATAAATCCTAGGCTCTGAGATTTCTGTAAACGTTTTGAGTTATCCAAAAATGCGCGGTAAAAAACTTGGCAGGTCCAGACTTCAGGAAAAGCCTTTCTCCGCCTCCCAACCTCTCACCCGCCTCCAGGGACCCGGAGAGAGGCTCGGGCTAACTGGTGGCCGTGTCCCTCGAAAGATCGCTGGGCACCGGGGCCGCCGCCGCCCGCTCCTGGAAACGGCGATGTGCCCTCGGACTTGGCCTCTGGGCGCCAGCCCGCACCTGCCCCCTCCAGTCCCCAGGAGCCGCAGAAGGGGCGCACAAAACTCCCTGGGCTCTTCCGAGCGCCCATGACTCCGGGTCGCCGACCAAAGTTGCCGCCGAGCCCTGCGCCGACCCCTCCGCTCCAGGCCCTCCTTACCCGGTCATGGCCCAGCGCGCAGTCCGCGGCGATGACGCCGGCGAGGCCGAGCAGGAGGGGTGTGGGTACCACGGGTGAGCCCCAGCTCCGAGCCTGGGTCCCCGACCCCAGGGCAAGCTGGCCGGATCGCCCTCCCCGCGGGGGAGTGACCATTCGCTCTCAAGAGCGGGAAGCCGGGCCACCGCTTGGTCCTGCTTCGCGCCGCCACCAACTACATTCCCGGAGGAGCGGCGACCGCCGGCGCCGGCCCCGGGATGAAATGGGCGCACGAAAAAGTGGTCCGTCTCACGACGCCGTTGGACCGCTAGGGTCGCCCCACTCCACCAGCGAGGAGAACTTGGCGCGTTTTCCGTAGTCTCAGGACCCCCGTGTTTAGCCTACGCCCGCGCCAGCGCTGCTATGGAAGGCGGCGTCTTTCGAAAATGCCGGTTCTTGTCCCCACGTTGCAGAGCCGCGAAAGGTAGGAGCTGCCTCGCGACCGTCACTCGCGCCCCTGGCACGCACGAGCTCCGGAATCCGCTGGAACGGTAGTTTCCCCCACGATCCTAACGGGTTCTGTAGTTTCAAACAGCGCAGGCACCGCGCAGGGCAGCTCGCGCGGGTCCTCGCTGAGGGCGCGCGCTGGGTGTGAAAGGCCTGGCTGGCGGGCTCGAGCCTCACGCCCTTTTTTTTTTTTTTTTTTTCCTTCACTTTAACCAGTCGCGCGCGCGAGTTGAGAGAAAAGTTACGGATCGGGAGACGGGACAGATAGAAACGGGGCGAACCCCTTCCTCGAGAAGGAACCGCGAGGTGCTCAAATTCACCAATCGATGACGAGGAATCAACGACGCCTCGGCTTTCTAGCTCCAAGAGGAGCCAATCAGAAGTACCTGTCTAAAAGCCAATTGGGTAACAGACTGGCCATCTAGCCAATAACGAATAAGAACAGAGGGCTCCAACCAATCACCGTTGGACATTCCGAAGGGGCCTAAGGAGCTGTTCTTCCCCGCGCTCGCTTCGGCGAGCGTGATCGCGCTTTCCCCACCGCCGGTTCAGTCTTGCTGTACGTTTTGTTAATCCTCGACCGTGGGGCGCCGAGGAGGGGATGCGGCCCCTCAGTAAGACCCGCCCCTTTCGGATGCACGCTCTTCGGCTAGTCTCCCCAAGACTGCTTTCGGAAAATGGCTGAGCCGTGTTCTCCGCTTTCGGTCCGGAATCTCAGCCCTGGCTCCAGGACTCCCCCAATAAAAGCAGCAGCGGCCGACGATAACATTAATTCTCAGCTGAATACTGCAGAGTTGAGGCTTCTTTCTCCGTGCCACCACCCAGTTTCTCCTCTTTCCCCCCCATCCGACCGCGCCTTGATAGAATGTTTGCCCAGCTTTGGCTGGGAGTTTGAGGAACATCAAAGAATTCCGGCAGCGAGAATCCCTACTAAAAATGGCCTCACCTGGTTTGTGTTTCCTTCTGTGTTTGTATGCTGACCCTAGCTGGGGGCCTCACAAGTGCTTACGATAAACAGGATGAGTTCCTTCCAAATTTACCAAGTATGTCTTTTAGGCTCCAGAGAGGGGGCGGTGATTGAAATGCATTCCCTGCTCGGTTGGAGCTTTACATCCTAGAGAGTGACGGTAGATTGAAAAAGCGTGTGTGCATTTAGGAGCAAGCACAGCAGAGAGAAGAGCAAACGACAGAGGTCCTGAGTCTGAACGTGTTTGTACGTTTGGAAAGAAGCAAGGCGGGCAAGTGATTAGAGCAGAGTGACCCCGGGTGCAAAGGTCGTACAAGAAGAGCTAAATAAGATAGGCAGGGGTCTGATCAATTAGGAACCGGAAATGCGATTTTTTTGGTATGATGTACATCATTAGATGTTTTTGAACTGGGGAGTAACATGATTTTAAGTAACTGCTTGTGGTGGATTGAGTTTCAAGAGGCAGGAATGTGTAGACGGCTATTTCCGTAACCCGGGGATTAAATTGTGATTTTGGAATAAAATGAGCCCTGTTGCTAACGGCAAAGCCGGCAGTTCAAACCCAACACCCACTCAGAGAAAGACACTGTTTGCTCCCATAGAGATTTACAGCCTCAGAAACCTTCCTTAAGCCAAAGTTGGGGCCATCGAATCAAACCAACTCGTGGCAGCCCTACAGGACAGGATAGAACTGCCCCTGTGAGTTTCCGAGGCTTGAACTATGGGGGAGTCGAAAGCATCATCTTTGTCCCCTGAAGTGGCTGGTGGCTTCAAAATACCGACTGTGGTTAGCAGTCCAACGCATACCCACTATATAAAATTGCCAGGACACCTAATGGCACAGTGTTTACCCATTGGGCTACTGTCGGCTAGGTCAAAACCACCAGCTCCAAGGGAGAAAGAAGGGCCTTTCTACTCCTGTAAACAGTTGCAGTCTCAGAAACTAGAGCAGTTCCACCCTGCTCTCAAGGGGCTCTATGAGTCAGTATAGTCTTTATGGCAATGAGAAGCCACTAGTGGACGGTGGGTTTGATTTGGATTAAAATGGTGACAAAATTGTTAAGGACTGATACATTTTCATGGAGAACCAACAAGATCTGCTTATTGACGGCTACATTAAAAAAAAACCAAAAAAAACCGTGGAGTCTTCCAACTCACAGTGAACCTCCAGGACTGTGGAGAAGTGCCCCTGTGCCCCTGTCGGTTGCAGACAGTAACTTTACGGTGCAATGGCTAGTGCGTTTTGAAGGGCTAACCTTGAGGTTAGCAGCTAGCAGCCCAACGTGTACCCACATGGCCACCAGGGTTCCTGTCAGGATTACTACACGGTCTAGAAGGAAAAGACAAAGAGGCAAAGTGTTATTGTTGGATTTTGTTTCTTTTTTTTAACGGGAGCAATTGGACAGTGGTAGGCCCTTGCTGAAATAGGGAACTGCGGCTGACCTCCATGTAGTATTCGTTCTAAAAACTTTTTAGAAAAAAAAAAGATTGAGATGGTTATTGCACATCCAAACAGATGGGGAGCCAGCAATTAGATACTAAGTTTGGAACTAACTCAGTGGAGAATTTAGATCAGAGGATATTAGAGCTTACATTGTAAGCACTCGGTTGGCAGAAGCCTGTGGATGACAGTGGAAGCCTCTGGTGAAGTCTGCCCGTAGTCAAGGGATGTGAACAGTCTTGACAGAGCATTGTAAAGTTGATTTTGGCATGCATAGTTTGACCCATTTTAAAGTTGTTTTACTTTTGTATATTTTCTACATTCTTTTCTGTTGAGGTTTTTCTGTTTTGTCTAGTCGTTGGGTTTTTGTTTGTTTGTTTCCTGTTTGTCTTTTGTGTGATTTTCTGTATTTGAAATCCAGGATCAGTAAATCTACAGAGACAGTACCTGGATCAATAATTACCTAGGGACATGGCAAGGGAGGGTGGGGGTAAATGGAAACTAACATGTATGCAAAAGAAATGTTCTGAAATTGATTGCACAACTCTTCTTAATATGATTGAATGATTAAATTGTATGATATGTGGAAAAAATAAAAGTTAATATCAGGAGAAAAAAAATGTGTGAGGGTCATCAAGGGGCATTTAAAATTGTAGGACTAGAGAAATAACCCAGAGAGTGATGCTATTTATCCTAAAAAATAATATCTGCCAGGAATTTTAAACCTCAATAAAATGTCCCTTAGTGTTACCTCCTTAGAATCAATATCCATCCTGACTGCCCATTAATGAGTCAGGATTATGAAGCTCCTAATTGTTGAGTGTATAACTCTAAAGAGCATTAAGATCTCATATACTGATCTCTCTGATCTGCCTAAAGAGAAACCATGTTACTCTCAAGTGGAAAAAATAGGTCCAAAACTAGTTGTTGGTTTTGTGTTTTTCCATACTTCAAGGCATTGATTAATCCTCTATGAGTGTAGGAACCCTGGTAGCATAGTGGTTATGTGTTGGGTGGTGATCCACAGGATTAGCAGTTCAATACCACCAGCATCTCTGTGGGAGAAAGATGAGGCTTTCTACTCCCATAAAGAGTTACAGCCTCAGAAACCTATAGGAGAGACATTTCTACCCTGTCCTGTGAGGTTGCCATGAGTTGGAATCTACTGTATGGCAGTGAGTTTGGTTTGGGGTATGAGTCTCACCGCTAGTTTGCCATGGTGTATCATGGATTGGCACTCATATTCTTTCCAATGCTGGCAGAATGATTGCGGCTTTCAACTCTACCAATTGGATAACTAATACTTGTTTCTAATTACCTTGAGATCCTATTGTTTGCAGCCACTCCTTTTCCGGTATCCTTGAGTATCAAGATTACATTTCGGAGAGTAGAATCCAGTCTAGTTAGTAGGTGGTGAGTAGGAAACATATGAGTGGGTTAATGAAATAGATTCTAGATTTGGTTTCTGGATTGAATCCCAACGTCTTTGCCAAATCAGGCCACCAAGGAGGCTGTGACACTTCTTTGATTGGGAAATGGTGGTTCTGAACCACAGCACAACTGCCAAGCCTAGAAAACTACCACCATCAGCAAGGTACTTGCTCTATCCACGCCAGAACCACCTCGACCCCATGCCCGCTATGATATGCACGAGCACTGGACACGCCCTGGGTTCTGCCTACCAAACCGCAGAGCTAGTGATTGGACTAGCTTCTTCAGAAAAACTACGCACCACATAACTGTGCTTGGCAGTAGCAACAGCAACAGCAAAAACTTGATGCAAATTCGATTTGGAATGCCCCTGGCAATATCATTCATTCAGAATCTTCACATACTTTCCATCCCTTTGCCTTCATTCAGTCCTATATGGAAGAAACCACATTCCAAAGTTCTTGCTTTGTGGCTGCTATTGTTAGGTGTTATCAAGTTGACCCTGACTCATAGCGACCTTATGTGTAACTGGAAAAAATACTGTCCAATTTTGTGCCATTTTTACACTCATTACTATGAGCCCATCGTTGGGGACATAATATCAAGCCTTTTTATTGAGGTCCTTCCTCTTTCACTGGCCTTCTACTCTACCAAACATGATGTCCTCTAGTGACTGGTCCCTCCTGATGACATGTCCTTGGGAAACAAGATGAAGTCCTGCATCCTTGCTTCTAAGGAGCATCCGACTGCGCTTTGTTTAAGGTGGCTGTTTCTTCTGGCAGTCCATTCAGTGTTTTTCACAACACCACAATTCCAGTGCATCAACTCTTCTGTCTCCCTTTTTATGATCCAGCTTTCACAGGCAGACGAAGCAAAAACCCCACTGCCCACCCTGTAGCTGAGTGGAGTTGACTGGATTCCAGCTGTAGGACAGAACTGCTCTTAGGTTTCCAGGCTACAAATCCTTACCGAAGCTGACGGCCTCATCTTTCTCCTGTGAAATGGCTGGGGCTTTGAACCACTAATGTTTCAGTTGGTAGCCCAATGCTTAAAACACTGTACTACCAGGATTCTTTGGTCCAGGCACACCTTAAAAGGGGACATCTTGAAGGGTGGGAGAGGGAGGGGAAAAAGAGGAGCTGATAC